GGGAATGACTGGCCTAAAGGCAATCAGCTGGCTTTGTGCCTAAGGCAGACCTAGAACTCACAGTCTCCTGGTTTCTAGCTTAGTGCCTTAACTTTGAATATATACCACTTTGGAATATTAAACTCCAAGTACGAGTATTCTGAATGATTCCTTTATTTTAATTATATGGAATGACGTTACTTTTTAGATACAAGTAGAACAAAACCTATATAGTACTTGAAGTCAAAACAGCGCTTAGTAATAATATTCCATATAACTGCAGAACGCAGAAAATATTAATAGTCAAACTGACATTTCAATCTGTATTATGTATTTATTCTTGCCAACCCAATAGAATATTGAAAATAAATTGTATGCGATTTTGTCCACCTGTCTATTATCTCTCCAGAACAGAACCAAATTTGATGTGATGGGAGAAGCCAACCCTCCCTCCCCCAATTGAATTTGCAAATGGATTTCTTCTGGTAGGATCTGCTGAGGAGGAAAAAAGAACCAGAAAAAAAGCTCTGATGAGCAGTGGCTTGGAATGCTGTTGACTCCTCCATTCTTAAGCCCCTCTCCCTGAGTGAAACTGCTATTCAAAGGATGGAAAGAATTCTACAGACATGCTCTGCATATTTCTCCTGCCTTGTTTTCTATTTCAGATTATTCTCGAGTTACAGTTAATGGGACAGTCAAGAAGAGATACTTAATTGGTTTGTCCATGGATAAAGTTATAAAGGACAAGCTGGTTAGCTGACTTTTCAAATGTCTTCCTTCAAAAATCTCCTGGCCAAGAACCCCCAAATATTTTAATTTTGTTTGATGAATTTTTTTTTCTGATTTAGCTGCATATTTATATTTCTCTTTCAGTTTTGTTAGTATGATCCTTGGGATATAAACATAAGCTTCAACTTCTTGGCTTACACTTTGTGTTGCTGAGTGTAATCTTGGATCCTGGCAGTCACGAGTGCAACTCCACGTCATCTGCAAAATATAGCTTATGTTTACTATTCATCAGGTTGTGCAATGTGCTGCAACAAGGAACATGCTAAAGGTTGCTTACCACATTATTTCAATGTTTTGTTTAGCCATGTTGCTGTGGGATTGTATTTTAGGATTTTTGTGTAGGACAAGTGTGAAAGTACACTATAACTTTAAAAAAACTTTGAATATGGAAAGAATATTGTCATGACTGTGGATAATGAAGCCACAATATCAATTGGTATAACTAACTTTAGTCAGTTCTTTTAAAATAACCTTGAAATAGGAATTTGTGGGCTTTTGCATGGCTGTTCCACATTTGGCTTTATAAACAGTTAATAGGATTTAGTCAGCTTGCTTTGCCTTTAGGGTCTACAAATGAACCAAATGAACTACACATGTATATGGCTTCTTCAGTCCCATAAGTCCATCAGACAGGAAGTGAATACTCTGCTGAAATATCTGGCTTGTGCTGCACAACTCAGAGTGGAGTAATGAGGAAGACTCCGAATCCTTCATTGAAGAATTCCATACATTTTTTTTTAATGTTACTCACATGAAACATTTGTCCCATCTTCTTCAGGGATGACTAATATCTTTTTCTGCTATCCAGGATGGTTTTGGGGTTTTTCCAAACCCCAACAATTGTTCGTGCCTACTGGAGTTTCTTCAGGTAATCCTTGACTTATGACCACAATTGAACTTAAACATTCTGTTGCTAAGTTAAAATAGTTAAGTGAGTTTTGTCCCATTTCACAATCTTTCTTGGCAGAGCTGGTAAGTGAATCACTGCAGTTGTTAAAGTCAGTAATGTGATTGTTAAGTGAATATGGCTTCCCATTCGATTTTGCTTGTCAGAAAGTCCCAAAAGGTGATCCAAGACACTGCAACTGTCATAAATATGAGTCAGTTGCCAAGTGTCTGAATTTTAGTCACATGACCATGGCAATGACCGTGTAACAGTTGCAAGTGTGAAAAATGGTCATGTCGCTTTTTTCAGTGCCATTGTAACTTCAAACAGTCCAACCTGAAAATTTGGATAAGAAGCTTGATAACATAATTGTGGTTTTAAATCAATTTGAAGATGGCAATCAGACTTAAGTAACAGCACTACAACAAGATTTACAACTAGAAGGATTGGAATGTAATTTGCTGCTGACAGATCTGAAAGATGAGGTTGACTTGGAAAATACAAGTTGGTTAGAGGGCTCCAAGAAAGGGATGGATTTTAAAGACTCGACATGGATAGAATTGACCAGTGAGGAACTCAACTTTTTCAAAAAGATTGAGGGAGATTGGGGAATGGATTTATTATACCCAATTGGAAAACAAATGTTAAGAGATGCTATGTAACAACTTGCAGGAGATGTTTTGGTACAGTAAATGCTGTGGAGATGGTACAAAACAGAGACTTATGACTTTGGAGAATAAAATCCAACTGTTAGGAAAGATCCCACTTAATAGTATAAGGAAAAGCTTTATTATTAAGATCCAGTCAAAGGTATTTGATCCCGGATGGACCAGAGACAATGATCGTCATGACTTACGGTAGATCAGAAACCGTTTTGGACTTTCTGCAAGTGAAACAAAATAGACTGTTAACAGGGTTTTTTGAAGTTTAATGTAGCTGTTGGTTTTAGTTGTTAAGTATGTTTCCATATAGTAGATAGTTGTCAGACTGAGTGGGGTAAACAGTGTGATAAAAACTTATAAATTGTGTGCTTGCTTCGCAAGGGGGGACGAGTTGTCATCTTTGAAATATATTTATCAGTATTCAGCAAGAGTTGGTTTTTTCGTGTAGTTTTGTGTAGTTTTGTTTTTTTCTTTTTTGGGGAGTTTATATTTTAATGTTTTGAATAAAATAAATTGATGTTAAAAAAGTAATCAGTGCTTTCAGATAGCATCTGTGCTAAGGCAATTGGCTTTTGTGTACCTGCATGTACATTGTACAGCTATTTTAGTCTGGCAACATTCTGCCTACTAGTTTACTGTAACTTGTTATATCACACAAATGCTAAAATATGTTGGACTTAGTAATATAGGAAAAAGTAATTTGGCATTCACTCTTCTGTCACTATATTGTGTGATTGGAGCAGGAGCTCATTAATGTTTAGGAATGTTTAACATCAACAACTCTTGATGTTCTGCATTTTATTAGTGTTTGATAATAGCTATGTTCCTCTTTTCCACTGATGCCCTCAGTAGTCTATTGAGAAATCACCAAAACTTATATATGTTTCCTTTTCTATCTAGCTTTGATAAATCCCATCCTCTATGGAATATGATAATCTGGTTGTATAGTGTTTTTGCATGAATTTCTCTTTGTGAATCTTGAAAAAAATAAGTAAAAAACAGAATACTGATCTTGTTAAGGAAAGGGTCCAGCTTTGAAAAAAAGTTTTGAAAATAAATTACAGATAACAAATTCTTGGATAACAAATTCTTGACTGTAAACAGTGCATAATCTATCTACCCAAATCCCTGGCTGCATTGTGCCTCCTATTGTCTTGTGGCTAGCAATTTCAGAGAGATGAAGATAATCCTGGCCACTCCCATTCTTCCAGAATGACCTTATGCCTGAAGGTACTTGCACCCTGTTATTGTGGAGGTTTGCTTCCCTATGCCTTCCCTAGTGAAAACAAGTGTTTCCCAAAGTTTGCTTTGCTTTGGGAATGACTGTGGTTGATAGAAGAACTCACAACTGGCTGAGTTGTGCAACAGGTTGACTCAGAAACCATTCAGATAGTCCTTGAATTTCATCCATTCATTTAGTGACCATTCAAAGTTACAAGGCCTTTGTAAAAAGTGACTTGGTCCTCACACTTAAAATCCTTGTGGCAACCTGTCTGGAGGTGGTGGGGGTCTGGATAGGGTAGAATAGATTTCAGCTGAACTGTTGTAAGATGGAGTGGCTATTGGGGGGGGGGGAATTCTCTGTATCCAGGGGTATCATACTTGGTCTCAGATAGGGTTGCATTGCCTAGACAGACACAGTGCAAATTTGAGCCGAGGATGACAGCGCAGTCATTCTGCACCCAACCTCTGCTTAAAGAGCAAGTGGCAGTTGTGGCTAGGCAGACCTTTGCTCATCTCTTTGCTGTGCTTCAGTTACACTCCTTCCTAGAGTGTGAGGTCTTGGTCACTCATGCCTTGTTCATCTCCCATATAGACTGTTCCAATGCTGTACACAGGGCTGTCCTTGAAGCAACAGCTGGTATAGAAAGTAGGCTCAAGGATGGGGCATGTAACATGTTTGCTATGTGAGCTGCATTGGGTGCCAGTTTGCTTCTGGGTCCAATTGAAGACGTTGATTATTACCATTGAAGCCCTGCATGACACGGGGTCAGGTTATCTGAGGAACCGTCCTATCAGTGGTGGGATTCAAATTTTTTTTACTACCGATTCTGTGGGTGTGGCTTGGTAGGCGTGGCAGGGGAAGGATTCTGTAGAATCTCCAGTCAGAGGTGGTATCTGCCGGTTCTCCAAACTACTGAAAATTTCCGCTACTGGTTCTCCAGAACTGGTCAGAACCTGCTGAATATCCCCTCTGCATCCTACCCTCATCATACTGATCCATCCCATCCAAGCAGGCAGGGTAAGGATGTTAGAGACTTTTGTCAGTTAAAGAACTTTGACTGATGGGTCCAGGAAGGAAACCTCTGCCATTGCCTTCGCCGCATGGAACATCTTTCCGCCAGAGACAGGATGGACCTCCCCAACTTTTTCCTAGCCTTTAGCAAAAGCATGAAGACCTGATTGTCCCAACTCACGTGGGGCTCAGTGAGGGCATGCAATCCTAGGCACGGTTAACCATCTTGAAGAAACTCCAGCTGCCTTTTTATTTTTAACTTTTTTTAATCCTTTTTTATTTATGTGCCTTCCATTTGAATGAACTTGGTATGTATTGTGTTTTTATGCTTTTATGTGTACATTTCCCAGAATCCCACTTTATAATACAGGAGAAAAGTTATAAAAGTCATACATGATATCATATACAATATAGAAATGCAGAACCATTTAACAAGAAAATACACAGATTTAATCGAAGAAAATTAGCTTTTATGTAAATTAGAAAAATGACATCAGAGTTTTGCTCAAGTGGTTAGATCTGTACAATTTACAATTTTACGTACAAAATGTATAATAAAATACAATCACTTCCTGAGTATTGATTTTACAGATGTTTTTATTTTCCTCAAATTAATAAATTGGACTATCATAGTCATCTGAACATTCATTTTATTTCACTTGGGTTGCCAGCATAATTTTAAAAATACTGTAATGGTTGCAGAATTAACACCTAGATATCTATATAAAATAGATTTCATTTTTAGTTAATTGTGATTGCTTATAAATGAAATCCTTGGTGCTCTTTGAATTTGGTTGCAATTTTGTTACCAGGTTTTTTATTCTTATAATTCAAACTGCAGTTCAGTTCAGATAAATTTCACTTTTTAAAAAGTAACCCATTCCCATTAGAGTCTTTGATATTTGAATGCATGATTGTACATCAATGTTTCAAGACTACAAAATGATTATAATAAATAATGTAATGCCTCATATGATGGTATTGCCTCAAATCATTTTCATACTCTAAAAAGATATGTAACTCTCAATGATCTGCTTGGCAGGATATATTTAAAATTTTAAATGTCCCATTAAAATCAAATAAAATGTATTGATAGTAAAAAGTCCCATTGATATAATCATAAACAGATGTGCTTAACTTTGGATATATATATATTCAAAACTACAGAATTTATAAGTGAATTTTCATCATAAAACGTGTAATTGCTCCACAATTCATTGGTAAAGCTATAAATTATAATTTAAAAGTTGGTTTTAGTTACTCAACACTAATTTTATGTTTCTGTAGATTTCAAGAATAATCCTTTTACTTAATTAGGTTGTGACTAAATTAGCATAACATTGTATTGAACTGCAAAGCACTGTGAAGTGGTATATAAGTGCTATTGCTATTATTATTGTTTAACAACCATTCAAAGTTACAATAGTGTTGAAAAAAGTGACTTACAACTGATCCTCAGACTTACAACCAACACAGCATCCCTACTGATCAAAATTTGGGTGCTTGACAACAGGCATGTCTTTACAGTGGCTGCATTTCTGGCTCACATGATTTCCATTTATGACCTTCTCGGGGGCTTCCAACAAGCAAAATCAACCGGCGGGGGGGAGGGGAAGAGTCAGGTTTGGTTAGCAACTGTGACAACCATGGCAAAAATGTTGTAAAATCAGGCGCGCCTCATTTAACAACAGCATCACTTAGAGATGAAAGTTCTAGTCCCAACTGTGGTTTGAAGTCAAGGAATACCTGTATTCTCAAGAAATAGCAATGGATGGGAGCTTCCCTAGGTTGGTGTTTGTGCCAAGATTCAAGACTGAAATAAAAGTGGTTTTATTAATTTAAGTATATCAAGATGTTAACACGTTTAATGAAGTCTTCAATATATTTTATTCACTAGTGTTGTAATATGTTGTAAATAAAATTAAGAAAATTGCAGCTTTTTTTGAAAAAAATCTTGTAATATATATTTTAACAACTGAATTGCCATCTTCTTATTGGGGATTGTATTTGCAAACAGATAATGTAACTGGTACTATACTTTTAGTTCAGTAGCTTTAGCAGTAAAAGTTGTAGCAGGTATTGAGTCAATCAGCTGAGAGATAGGTAGATGGGTACACCACTTTCTGGAACTGGAGCCTTATTCAAAATTAAATAATGCATAAAAGAAATGAAAACAAAAATCTCCATGATAAAACTGTGGGAAAACCCACTTTTCAATATAACCAGGGTGCTTAAAGATTTAGAAGTCTTTTTCACAGAAAGTTAGTCTTTAGTTGAATACTTGAGCCTTTCCCAGGATTCTTTGGATGCTTAGATGTTGACTTATCCTTGATGCTTTCTTGATTTCCTTTTACGGCTGACTCAAGTCTTGCTTTCATTGATGGGGAAGAAGCCATTGATTGTTTAAAGGCTGACGTATACTGTGGACCAATCTGCATCAGATAACGCAAAGCAAACTCATGAAGATACTTTGCTGAACTTGAAACTGATCCTAGGGCGTTTTCATCCAAAAGAAAAGATATGAGGATGGGAATAAAAGAAGCCACTAGCTGACTTCCTGTGAAAATTGAAAAGAACAATTTATTCAGCAATGATAAATAGCACCAGTTTCATAATTACTCATTTTTAAATTTAACTCTTAAAATGACTCGATATCATTTGATACAGTGGAATGTACTTTTCAACAAACAAATATACTTGCTTGCTTAATTAATTGTAAACAATTAACATTGCTTTAACTTGGTATTTAGAATATTACGGTATTCTAGCTGTAAGTAAGCAAGAGATTTTCCAACGACGAAACCCCATAATTTCTGCCTGCTTTGGGTCTGTACTCTTATGACTATCTTACTACCATGTCTTCATGATATTATGAACAGACCAAACACATGCACACATTTGCAAAGAGTATTTTTATGTCAAGAATTTTTTTTCCCAATTTACAATAGAATAGAAACTTTATTGTCACTTTTTAATGTACACTAATCAGCATACATTAAAATGAAATTTTGTTGCATTCAGCTCTCAAATGATAACTATTATGCATATATCCACATATATGACCCAGAGAAACTTCACATTCTAGTTCATATGTATGTATGTATGTAGTTCATGTACATGGTGGGAGGGGAGAAGAATCCTGAGAGTTTACAAGATGGATGGGATTAGGAACAAAGCTTACAGAATCTAATAATCCTGCTATAGATAAATTCACAAAAGCGTTGGAAGCAGTTTTAAATCTAAACTGATGCATTAAAAATATTTGATTCTAGCTGTAGTCTACAGCTACATACTCTCCCATGGATGCAAACTTTCAGTAACTTCAATAAAATTGATCTATTTAAAATCAATAACAAGGGCAAAATTAAGCTATGCTTCTCAGAATAATAATTCTAAGCAAGGGGCAAACAACCTGAGGCTCCCATATCACTCAATCACAGCTAAATCACACATATGTTTTTGGCAAAACAATTTTAACATAAGAACCCCTCTGCAATCTGCAAGGTTCTATTATTTTCTCCTAAAATGCCTTCAAATGCTGATCTTCTTATAGAGCAGGGCCGCCAAACTCGCGGCCAATGGGCTGGATGCGTCACATGCCGACCATGCCCACACCCAGTTTTAGTGAAGGGGAAAAGTTCTGATACGTCACGTGATGTTGCCATGACGATGCGAGTTTGACACCCCTGTTGTAGAGGGTAATGGCATACCAGAGCAGAAAGGCTAAAATAATGCCACTAACTAGAAATCAGATAATATTAACAGTGTTTTGTAGGTGGGACAATTGGAAGAATATGCAAAGAACACTTACGATGCTCTTCCTCAGCAAGGGCTATAACAGCAGCCACTACCTTTATTCCTTCTTGAATAACTTGGAGTTCAGCAGAATTCTCTGGTTTATTTTTTTCTGTTTCTTGTAGTTTGGCCACTATTGAAGATATTAATGAATGAATGTAAGGGTATGAGACAGCTGGATTGGGACACTGGAAAATGGAAAGGAGCAGCTGATAGCATTTAAGTTGTACCTAAAAAGAAAGAATTTTTTAGAAAGATAGTCCATTCAAATGTAAAAAACAAGTTAAACCTGCCACCGTGAACTGTTATTTGTATGATTACTTTATGCACCAGTTTCTACAAGTTTGTTTAAAGCTAATTTAGCTAAAGTTAAAATCCTGAAGTTAACTCCGAAACGTAATTGCAGAGTCTCCTTTAGATAGATAGATAGATAGATAGATAGATAGATAGATAGATAGATAGACAGACAGACAGACATAGATAGACAGACAGATATAAAGAGGACATGGCAGAGGAAAGAAGAATTAATGATGGTGATATTGTCAGGTACCAACATAGGCTAGCCCCAGAATCTCCCCCCCCCCTTTTTTTCCCTAACTGTATAAATTAGAAAAGACTATTTGCTTAAGGACACCATGCATCCTCAATAAAAGTACCAATGCTGAGTTTTTTTATAAATGCCTTCACAACAAGAGGAAGAACATATAGTCTGGGAGCCCAAGATAAACATATGTAAGGAAGTTTATACTGCATAAAGAAAGCTTCCTGCCTTGCATTTTCCCCAAAACCTGAGAATCATTCCTGAACAATATGGGATGAAGCAATTGGAGCTGCTAGATGGGGGAAAGTCTGCAGAAAATTTCCATTTGCGAACTTCCTTATGTTAGAAATCAAGCCATACTTTTCACTCCAAAAATTCAAAAAGGTGAAGCAATATTTTTAGACATAAGAATGTCAACTTCTGTGAAGATCCCAAGTTCTCTTGATCAGACATTTCAGATTTCCCAAATAATTTGTCAGGACTGATGCAATTCCAGCAAATATTGACTATATAAAGTAGAATCAAATTCTAAACAGGCTGATTCAGGTTTTCATTAACAAAGCTGTGGGCTAACAGGATGGAATCATAGAGGATCATTTACCCTACTGTCATCCCTCTCACTTTCAGTGGTGGGAAGCACATGTTTATTCAGTGAAAAGAGCTACAGAAAAACAGTTGGAAGAGGCAGATAACAGATAATCAGAGTTGGAAGGGACCTTGTAGGTCATCTAGTCCAACCCCCTGCCCAAGTGGGAGACCCTACACCATTTCTGACAAATGGCAGTCCAATCTCTCCTTGAAAGTCTCAAGTGATGGCAGTCCTACAACTTCTGAGGGCAAGCTGTTCCATTGGTTGATTGTTCTCACTGTCAGAAAGTTTCTCCTTATTTCCAGGTTAAATCTCTCCTTGTTCAGTTTCCATCCATTATTCCTTGTCTGGCCTACAGGCGCTTTAGAAAATAGCTTGACCCCTTCCTCCCTGTGGCAGCCCCTCAAATATTGGAAGACCTCTATCATGTCTCCCCTGGTCCTTCTCTTTACTAGACTAGCCAAGACCAGTTCCTGCAACCGTTCATTGTATGTTTTAGCCTCCAGTCCCCTAATCATCCTGGTTGCTCTTCTCTGTACTTTTTCTAGAGTCTCAACATCTTTTTTATAATGTGGTGAACAAAACTGAATGCAGTACTCTAGGTGTGGTCTTACTAAGGCTTTATAGAGTGGTATTAGTACCTCCCTTGATCTTGATTGTATCCCTCTGTTAATACAATTTAGGATTGCATTAGCTTTTCTGGCTGCTGCTGCACACTGCTGGCTCATATTTAGCTGGTTGTCCACTAAGACTCCAAGATCCCTCTCACAGTTACTGCTATTGAGTCTGGTTTCATCCAGTCTATATGTGTACTTTTGGTTTTTCTTGCCTAAGTGTATAGGACTTCACTGTTGAATTTCATTGAATTTCATTTTGTTAGATATGGCCCAGTGTTCTAGTCTGTCAAGATCCATCTGGATCTTGAGCCTATCTTCTTGGGTGTTGGAAGGCCTTGGAAGTCTTCAACCCTCTGGTCAGGCAGGAAACCCTATTCCATTAGGACTAAACATAAGCACATAGCAGAGGAATGGTAGCAAATCTCAACACAAGTTTAACTTGTACTTACAATGGGATCTTTAGATTCCATAGCTGATTTAAACTTCTCAATGCACTGTCTCTGAAGACATTCCATGGTGATAACTTCTGGACTTACAGACAAAATAAATACGGTGATCGCAGTCAGCAGACTACTTTCATCCAATTCTTGACCAGCATCATCTACCAATAATAAGACATTTTAAAATATCTGAAATGGGACTAATGATAACATTAAAAATTAAAGTCAAGTTCTGATATGGTTTTGAACCCAACTGTATAAGAAGATATTACTAAGCATACAGACCATAATTGATGCCAACATTTCTGTTGCTAAGCAAGACAATTCTTAAGTGAGTTGCACCCCATTTTACAATCATTTTTGCTGTAGTTGTTAAGCAAATCACTGCAGCTGTTAAGTGAATCATGCAGTTGTTAAACAAATCTAGTTTCTCCATTGACTTTGCTTGTTGGAAGCCATCTGGGAAGATTATCAATGGTGATCACATGATCCCAGGACAATGCAATTGTCACAAATGCATACCAGCTGCCAAGTGTCCAAATTTTGATCATGTGAATGCTGCAACAGTCGTAAGTGTGAAAAATGGTCATAAGTCACCTTTTTTCAGTGTCATTGTAACTTCTAACAATCACTAAACGACTAAGACTACCTGTATCTAAGATGTCTAATGCATACTTGTACAGGTAGTCTTTGCTTAACAATTGTTCTGTTTTAACAACTGTTCAAAGTTACAATAATGCTGAAAAAATAACCTCAGGATCAGTTGTTTCACTTATGACTTTTGCAATATCTCCATGGCCATCTGTTCAAGCTGAGGATGCTTCACAACTGGTGAGAATTTCTGACCATTGCAGCATCTCACAGTCATGCGATCCCCATTTGCATGCTTCATATCCAATTTCTGACAAACAGTGTCAGTGGATAAGCTGGCAGTAAAACCGCAAATTGCGGTCATACGATTACTTGCTTCATTACCATGTTGCTGAGTGACAGGATTGCTTATTTCACTAGGAGGTTAGGTAAAAGGTAAAGATTCCCCTCACACATACGTGCGAGTCGTTTCTGGCTCTAGGGGGCAGTGCTCATCTCCATTACAAAGCCGAAGAGTCAGCACTGTCAGAAGACGTCTCCTTGGTCATATGGCCGGCATGACTAAATGCCAAAGGTGCACGGAACGCTGTTACCTTCCCACCAAAGTGGTCCCTATTTTTCTACTTGCATTTTTACGTGCTTTTGAACTGCTAGGTTGGCAGAAGCTAGGACAAGAAACTGAAACTCACTCCGTTACGCGGTGCTAGGGATTTGAACTGCCAAACTGCCAACATTTCTGATTGACAAGCTCAGCATCTTAGCAACTGAGCCACCGCATCCCCAATACTAGGAGGTTAACTAGGAGGTTAAGCAAGGACTAAATATAAAATACTATTGAACTATTTTAATGTCAGGCAATAAGATTTTTTAAAAATAAAATGCTTATGTTTTAATATTGTATTAAAGCTGTAACTGCAAAAACATTTTAAAATGGTATAATTCCAATAACACTTTAAGAGATTGAAGTGATGCTCCTCTGCTATATACTAACCACATGGGGGCAGTGGCGTGCAAGTGGAGAATTAAAACATTTACTTCCTGTTCCTATTGTCCAATAGATTGCAAATCTCCATGACCCACAGAGTACAAAGTAATAGAGTTGGAAGGGATCTCTCAGGTCTTCCAGTCAAACCCCCTCCAGACAAGTGGCTTTCCAATCTCTTCTTAAAAACCTCCAATGATGGAATACCCACATGGAGGCAAGCCGTTCCACTGGTTGCCTTCTGGAGGCAAGCCGTTCCACTGGTTGATTGTTCTCACTGTCAAGAAATTTCTCCTTAGTTCTTTCTGCCTTCCTTCTCTGATAAACTGAGCAGATGCTCTTTGATATGGTTAGCCAGGTGCCAGGCTTTACCTATTATTCTGATCTACTCCCTGTACATAATTTACTTTGTTATAAAAATCTTAATAAGAAAAACTCATATACACACATTTTAACCTCCAACATTTACCATTTCTACTGCTGCTGGAATGCCAACATTCTTAATAGCGCAGCATCTCTATCAAAACAACCTCACTTGGCAAAATAATGTGCTTAAAATTCTTCAGATTGTTTCATGCAGGCAATCTTCCCAACAAAATCAGAATGTCATGCATAGTAAATAAGAAAACCAATAGTCAGATTTAAATAACAAATGTATTTTTTCTAGGTTTTTCTGCTAATAAGTGAATAAATTCTGGATTCACAGTCTTAAAGCTTCTAAAGATTTTCTATATGTGAAAAGAGATTAAATTGGTTGCTGGATATCTAAACTTTGAGAAACGTTGATTCACTGTATTTTATTGGGACCTATTATTTCTTGCAATGTTCAATGTCGAGAAGTCCACAAATTTGGGGAGGATCTCTCCAAATTTCTGGACTTCTCAATTCCAATTCTGCGCTTTTCTTTACAGCTATGAACCTGCTGCATTCAACATTACAAGAAACAACAGGTCCCAATAAAGTACAGTGAATACCTAACCCAGTTAGGATAGGCAATTTGGAATTAATGAATATGCCAAAGTTGGAAAAAGAAAATGGAAAATAAATATTTGTGGCACAGTTTGCACAAGCTAATATTCACATAAAAATAACACTGTAGGGGAATGCAAGAAGTGAACTCCATTAGAAAAGGAACAAGAGGTTATCAGCATAGAAAAGGGCAAAGAGCATGTTTGCTGCAAAGAAGAAACTTGCATCCCCCAGGTAACTAGAGTTGTTTTTAAGCAGCAGTAGCTAATTATTTTGTGCCCAAGTAGCATATTACTAATCTGAGTATGAAATTATTTCTTATGCTGTATATAATGCTTATATCAGATAAAGTAAACCTTTTTCTTCCTTATACTGTACCTTGATCCCAAAAATTAAGAATGGTGACCAGAGCACTACGGAGCAATTCATTCCAAGCCATTTGGCTCTTCTCTGCCCGAGCCATGGGTGATGACAGGACTCCTTTAAGAGCTTGCAGTGATGCAGCAACAGTCATGGGTAAATGGCCACTGGATAGCTTCACAGCAGTTTCTCTGAGGACTCCAATAATCAGATATAAGATTGTGGGAAGAACAGCAATGCTTCCTGAAAGATATAGCAAATGCATGGCATAAATATAATTGCTGAAAATTTTACAGCATCTATTGAACAAAACATGAATTCCATATGCATTTATTAGTACTCCATTATTTCAAGCTCAGTGTTGTATTTAATAAGAATTGTCATTTCTAAATTAAGCTTCAATTTAATGCTAACACAAATATTTGAGATGAGATTAATTTAGGAAAAAATAATCACTCTGCAACTAACATATAACATAGAGAAACTCTTTTACTGATATTTATTCAACCACTGACCAGTATGAAATATTTGGAATTAGTATTAATTAATAAAATTGATTCAGATGTCAAGTGCTGGCAATGAATATCTAATATTTCTCTTCTACTTTGGTGAAAAAAGAATCTTCTTTTTTAAAAATAATTTTCAAAGCACCATCTTTTCTGTCTCAGGATACCACTGGACTTTAACCTCTAATAACTTTAGTCAGAATGGCCCAAGCTAAAGGATGTTGGAAATTACATTTCAATTTCTGAAGAGCACAGCTTCCCATTGTTGGCTTAAACCAGGAGTGTCAAACTTGCGACAACACATTGTCGTCATGTGACATATCACAACTTTTTCCCCCTTCTCTAAAATGGGTGTGGGCATGGTCAGAGCGTGATGCATCCAGGCCACAGTGGGCCATGAGTTTGACACCCCTGGCTTAAACTTATTCAGAGGTGCTCCTTCACTGCATAAATATCTTCAAATATGTAAATTAAAAAGTAGTACTGAAAGCATGCAGTAATCACCTTCATCCATCTGCATCAGTCCTCTATAATTAGGAAGTCGTAAATATAATGACAACAGATCAATAGATAGTTCCTACAATTAATCTGCATAAAAATGCTGAACCCATTGGTTTAAATTGTGATTTCATTCAGTGTATCTGATATAATAATAATTTTGTCACTCCTACAAAATCTGAGTTGAAGGAGACCGAAGGGAACGTCACACTTTAAGGATTCCTCTTTGTCTCTTTTGTGTGCATTGCTTTTTAAAAACTTGACATTATAGTATATTATTTTTATTTGTTTTGTAAAATTCACTGTGAATCTTTTATGGAATGCTTATGGCAGCTAGAGTTGGAATCTACAGCTAGATAGTATGTAGAACTGATTTAGGCCTTGGTGTTCCCTGAGTTTGGTTATTTTCTTGCAGATGTTTCATTATCTAAACTAGATAGCATCATCAGTGCTAATATGTTACCTAGTTTGGGTAATGAAATGTCTGCAAGAAAACAACAAATCTCAGAGAGTACCAAACATTTCCCATTTCAAACCTGAGCTACAAATACTCTCCTTTATTAGTATACACAACTGTTACGTTCCATTCAAATTGTTATATTCTAATAATCACACAAAAAGATAATTCTAAATACCATTTTAATTAATAATTCTGATATGTTAAGACTCGACTTCCATAAGAATGCTTTTGCATGAGATGACTAAGTCAGAATTGTGAAAGATCTGTTTTATTTATTAAAATCTTTTATTGAGGTTTTTTTAAAGCATACACCAATTGCTTGAAGTTATGTGAATTTACTGTCTTGCACTGTTTTAGTAGCAATAGTACTTATATACCACTTTACAGTGCTTACAGGAATCTCTAAGTGGTTTACAGAATAAGCACATTGCTCCCAACAATCTGGGTCCTCGTTTTACCCACCTCAGAAGGATGGAAGACTGAGTCAACCTTGAGCCTGATGAGATTCAAACTGCCAAACTGCAGGCAGCCGGCAGTCAGCAGAAGTAGCCTGCAGTACTGCACTCTAACCACTGCGCCACCATGGGTCATAAATAAGTAAATTGCTTTCAATTCACAGAATAAGGAAAATAAATTAACGTCCTTCTCAGTCTGTGCTTAAATATATCCTTTTTACTTCACATATTGCTGTTTATTTCTTTTGCAGAAGAAATTAAAATAAATACAAATTCTGTAATGTATATCGGAATTTCATCCTACCTTCTGGTGAACAGACTGCAGGAACACCAGAGAGGATTCCCAGGGCTGCTGCTACCAATCTGTTCCCGTCTGCTGATAACAACTGAGGTTTTCCAGCTGTAATTCCAGGGCTACCTGTTATCTTCAGGTTTAGCTGAGGTAGCTGCCTTACAAGAATACACACACACATTTCCAGTGTTGCAAAGACTAAAGACTTTCCAGGTATAAGTCCTCCTGTATCTTTGCCTTCTCCAAACTCGGGCAATGTCTCCTTTTCTTCAGCCCCATCATCAACTATAGTGAAGTAAAGAGTAAATATTATGTTTTATTGATAAAAAAAAATCCTCTTTGAAGCTTCTTAAATAGCTTCTGGTTGCAGTGTTCTTATTTGTTGGATAGTATACATCCCCTATAACCTGATGCAGCATGGACAAGCTGCACATTGATCTGCTGTATAAATAATCTATGCTATTGGAAGAACTTGGAATACTGCATTCAGTTTTGATCACCTTGATATAAAAAGATGTTGAGATTCTAGAAAATTGTAGAGAAGAGCAACAAAGTTGATTAGGGGCCTGGAGACTAAAACGTATGATGAACAGTTGCAGGAACTATCCAATGAAGGACTAGGAGTAACATTATAGCAGTCTTCCAATATTTAACGGACTGTTACAGAGCCGAGGGGATCAACTAATCAAAAACAACTGAGGGCAAGACAAGAATGGATGGAAGCTTAATAAAGAGAAATCCAACCAAGAACTAAGGAGAACTTTCCTGTCATTGAGCATAATCAATCAGTGGAATTGCTTGCATTACTAGAGGATTTTAATAAGAGACTGGACAGCCAGATAAATGGCTGCTGTGGGTGAGAGGATGGTGCATAAGGGGCTAACACAGCATAAGTGCCCTGAGTCTTGCAGTGACTACTACCAGGCACAGATTTATCCGGCCCACTTGTGGCCTTCCTTATCAGCTTTGTTTATGGGAAACTGGCAGAGAAGGTCAGAAATGGTAATCACATTATTATGGGATGTTGCAATCATAAGTGCACTCTGGTTGCCAAGCACCCAGATCATGAATACATGACCTCTGGAATGCTGGCACAACCAGAACTTTAAAGTTCAGTTATAAGTACCATTTTTCCAGTGCCCACATAAATTTGTGAGGATTATTTATAGAGCTGAAATCTGCTCCAGAAAAGTATCTGACAGCACGGATAAAGATCTCATTTACAAGATACTGCAACATTTGTTATTATTTAAAATACCCCTTTTATGTAAATGGCATTTTAAAGGAAGTAGGTAGTCATCAGAGGTGGTATTCAGCAGGTTCTGACCAGTTCTGGAGAACTGGTAACAGAAATTTTGAGTAGTTCAGAGAACTGGAAAATACCACCTCTGACTGGCCACACCCCCTTCTCTTCTTTGCCTCCCGAGTCCCAGCTGATCGGCTGGGTCTTCTTTTGTTGCCCTGCACAGGAGAAGGAAGCTGGAAAGCAGGTTAGTGGGGTGGGGAGGGAATGGGATTTTGCAGTATCCTTTTCCTGCCATGCCCACCAAGCCACACCCACCAAGCCATGCATGTGGCTTGGTGGGCATGGCAGGAAATTTTTTTTACTACCGGTTCTGTGGGTGTGGCTTAGTGGATGTACACTAAGCCACACCCACAGAACCGGTAGTAAAAAAAATTGAATCCCACCACTGGTTGTCATCTCTGCTAAATGCTAGAAATTAATTTTGTAAAGATGCTGAGAATTCTTTGTTGAACAAAGCAACAATTACAATATCCACAGTTACTCGTAAGAGAAGCCACATCATTTTGTTTGGAACTATAGGATAAAATAGAATGCCTTTTGTTAAAGTTAGCTGCAGTTCTTCTGCCAAATCCTTACTACACTTAAAAGGTAAGAAAATTATAGAAGTAAAAAAAAAAAATCGATTTGTTAAACTACTCTCTGCTAAAATTACCATCCCCCCATCCTACCCTCAATATTAATCTGAGACAAATACAGAAATTATTCAAAATCATGAATACAAAATATACTGCTGTGAGAAAATGAAGCATTTCTTTCATCTAAAATGAAACAACTGTCATAAGAAGTTCGATCAAGTCTGTTATACGGCTCTACCTTCTGCACTTCTCCGTTTTTCCTTGACATGCTCCTGTGCTGCGAAAAGAACCTGTTGGACAACTTCTAGAGCAGCCAGTTGAATGTCTGGGAACTCTCTGGTCAGTATAAGTCGGTGTAAAACATTCAATAACTCCACACTCAGTTCCTATATATGGGAAATACAGCAGACTGTTTACTTAAGTTTTAATACAGTATATTTAATACAATTAAGGTAGATTAGAATGAATGGAAAAGAATTGCCCCCAAACACTTGTTTCGATTCAAACCTGAAGAATTCATGTTTTCAGTGTCAAACCCTATTAAAACCCTAGAATACATGTTGCGTTAAGAGATTTTTCATGCCTTTCCATAGGCACAGATTTTAAAAATATTTTTTCATCTTCTGTGTAGTGCGTTCAGTGGAAATACAAGGAAGAAGTGTCTGAAGGAAAAACAAAGGCAAAGTTTCTAGCCTCTGCTTTTTTTTTTAGTTCTTAAGAGGAAGATTGCAGGATTCTATGCCATTATTTATTTTATTGTTCACTGCAAATTTCAGCTTCACGATATTGGGATATTCATGATATTGAGAGAGTCAAAAACCATCAAAATAAAAGGGACTCAATACTGTAGGTTGTCCGTACTTGGCCTAATTGCTTTCCTGTTCCTGAACAGATTTTATTTCTCTTCCCATAGTCCAAAAGTAACTTATAATTCTTCTCACTATGTCCCAGAGAATTATTTTAAGACAGAACAATAACACTTTAATATGTACCTGTTGAAGTTATGAGAGTAGTAAAATTAAAAGAAAAACATGCAAGCCATTCAGCTATATATTTCATAACAAAACTAGAAATCCATAGTTTTTTGAATGACTAATGAACAAAACTTCTGTTCTTGATACAGACATCGTGGATCCATGTATAAGTGCCTTCTTATAGTAGATGTCCCATATGAGTTTATCAATTATAATCATTACTACATTAGTAATTAATTATACTCTGCCCATACTTAAAATTATCGACTCCCCTACTGAGCACAGATGATAGAAAATACAGTTGAAAGTGACTCTAAACTGGATACACTTCCTACATAAATTACTCTGTCATAGAGACTATTCAAATAGCTGTCCCATTTTGCCCATATCACCAGGAAAGAGAGACATAAGTTTCCACAGACATTTGGCAAAAGCATTCATAATATCCAGCTGAACTAACTCAGAAGTTTTGAATGTTACCTGATCACTTCCAATCTTAGATCTTGGCCAGGGAACTTCAAGCAGGACCCGCAAGGCATCTAGACAAGCAATAATGTTTTCCATCGCTTCATCTGACCGGGGAGAACAGAGAAATTCCACGCTAATTCCTAAAGAAAATGGAGTCAGGGAATATTAGATGAACTAAACATAAAGTTTAAAAGTATAAAATTTATATTTCACTTTTAATTGAGAAAGCAAACTGTTGATACCACTAATTAAAATGAATTACAATAACGTCACTGTCAACGACATTCTCTAAAAATGCCCACAGTGCAGTCAGAACAACCAGAATAATGAATAGAAAAGGTGTATCATGAAGTTGAATTAGTGACATGAATGAATTAATAGCACATTAGTTGGCAGAAAAATCTAGATTTTGGGTTCCTGAGCTTAAATTGGCCTTTCTTGTGCAGCCTATCGAAACCGCTTAACCAATGTTATTTTCTTAATACTTTAGAGCAGGGGTTCCCAACCTGGGGTGCTTGCACCCCCTGGGGGTGCGAGACGATATTCCAGGGGGTGCGAGAAAAGTCCAGGTAAATAATAGGATATTGGCTATATGTTGGCACTTTTATTTATTATTTATTTCAGGGGGCGCGAGGTTCAGGTGAAATTTCTTTAGGGGTGCGGGGTGAAAAAAAGGTTGGGAACCACTGCTTTAGAGGATAAAATTTAAAAAAAGGTACTTTGTAAGATATCCAGGTTTTAAACATAGTTAGACTTTTGATATAGGGAAAAGTCATTCTATTTACAGTAATTGTAAATAGAATTGTAATCTATTTAAACAAATTGTTGTAAAAGAGCCCAGATTATGCACCTAATTTTTCATAGGAAATGTACAGTACATTTGCAAGAAGTCGGCTTTTTAATTATTTCATTTCAAAGCTGCCCAACTCAGAAACATTAATGCTCCTAATTCACAAATCAGAGAATTACTAATTCTGCCTCTCTTATCTTGCCAGGATTTAGCCTCATTTTATTGCACTTCATTCAGTCAAAATAATATATACAAATGTTCATAAACAAAAATCAGACACAATAGCAGAAATTCAATTACAAGCATGTGTTCTATGTGCCCCAAAGTCATTTGTCTGACTCAGAAGAATCGATCTTCTGAACTAATTTCATGCAGAAAGGTCTGCAATTGTTCTTGATTTAAGCATAACAGTTCATAGCAAATTTCAGTGAACCTGACAAAAACTGTCATGAAAAATATGACAAAGAAAAGTTTACATACTTACTAACCCAAAACAAGATAAAGTCTATCAGTATTCACATCTTCAGGTGATTTTACCGCAGCCCTAGAGGTAGAATCTTGACACATACTAGTTGGAGTAACAGGTCGTGAAAGATTAGTTAGACCTTCATCTGAATCACCAACCAGAAAACCAGTGCTAGTAAGCCATAATGCAGTAGCATGAAGAATCTGAGCCCAGGCATTTTGATAATGCGGTCTTGCATTTTCAATTGTTTCTGCAGTATAGAAGGCACCACCTACAAATAAACGATACATATTCAGTTTGCTTCAAATCCCTCCAAATATTTGTAACAAAGTGATGAGAAGAGTCAGAGACATGATTTCTATCATTCAAAAAACAAACAAAACTTTGGCAGCTTCTGTTGATATATCTTTGATTACTCTAAACGTTTATATTTTATTTTTGTCCTCTGTTTAGTAGCTAAGCTTCAGGAAATGAAGCTCGATTTCTGCAGAATCTATACCTGCCAAATGGATTCAATAGAAATATTTGCTTTATTTGACTTCTTACCTTCAGAGGGAAGTTGAGAAGCAAATTCTGAAGGCAAAGTTAAGAGAGCAAAATCCTGAAGTGCAGCTAGCCAGAGTTTGCTCAGGTTCCCTAGATCCACTTGGACTAAATCCAGAAGTTCATCCGCTGAAGGGGATGGATCCAGGAAACTTTCCTCTGAAATGTTTTTAACCAAAGGTGGACTATTGATGTCATTTTGTTTCTTCTGTCTTTGTGAGGCAACTATATAAACCTGTTTGAAATAAGAAGAGCAAATGGAACTTTAAAGTTCGGACCAAACAGAAAATTTGAATAGAAAAAAAATAACACCGGTTATGGTACTCAAAAAAATTGCTAGCTGCTGGTAAGCTACAGTAGAGAAAGGTTATTGCTTTCAAGCTGTTTATTGGTTTTCATGAAGTCATGATTTTTTTTGTAACATTCTAATAGTACAACAAGCTCAAAAAACCCGATTATCATACCTTTCTAATATTAATAACAATAAAAGAATTAATTCATGTTCACAGGAGCTGAATTATTATTGTTTTTATCTTGCTAAAGAAAGCAAGAAGCTGATTTGGTGTAATGGTTAAGGCAGCTGGCTAGAAACAGAGAGAGACTGTGAGTTCTAGTCCTGATTTGGGCACAGAGCCCATTGAATGACTTATGACCATTTTTCACACTTATGACTGTTGCAGCATCCCCACAGTCATGAGAGGCCAGGCGAGGAGATGGTGCCTTGATGTGAGTGATATTGAGTTGGCCACACCCAGCCAATAACATGACCACCAAGCCACGTCCACCCAGTCACATGGCCACCAAGCCACACCTACCACCTAAGCCATGCCCACAGAACCGGTTGTTAAAAAAATTGAATCCCATCCCTGATCATAAAGTCTGGAGCGTCTTATGGTCTGAAAAATACAGTAATGTCTAGGCAGTTGTCAGAACTCAACACTGATTTGAAGGCATGCATACAAAGCAAAAGATAAGAAATCCAGCTATTTCTCTTATTTTTTCTGAGACAGATTGAATTTGCCTGTCATTAAAGAATGAAAACTGACACAAGTAATGCCAGAATAAACAAGTTGGAAAAGATCCAGGATACTGTTTTCTCTGTTAGTAGGAATAGAATTTCTGTAAACAATAACAATGCTTCTTCTTTTGTTGTACACTGTTGGGCAAAAGACAAGGGAATTGTATTTCCAACAAAAGGCTTTAATTTATACTGCATACATTTAATGTTAAAATAACATTTCATTGCATATAATAGATAATTTATATATGTCTAACCCTATTAAAAATAGCATGCATTTATTATCCCAACTTGACAACAAATAGTAGATAGGGTACTTCACTTGAAAAAAGCTCTTTAATTCCTAAAGGTATTATGTTAAGATTAATTTTTAGCTAAGAAAGTTATTGTAAAAGGCCTAGTTTGAAAAGAAATCAGCCTCTAATTCCAGTTTTTAAACTGATAGGTTTTTTTCCATAATTAATTCCAAAGCACTGATGAAATCATATTTGTTAAAAAAATACCTCTGCCCAAGCTTTTAGTACGGCAAGTATTTCCATAGTAGATGTGCCTTCATTGTATAGTTGATTTTGTGCTTCTTTTCCAGCCTGTACTTTTGTCAAGGAAGTCACAAGCAAATGATGAACTCTTTGAAGGTCATTAAGATCATTTACTACACCACTTGCTATCCAAGCACTGCAAACCTACAAAACCAAATAATGTGGTTACTTTTTCTCTAATGCAATAAACTCTTTTATATTAGTTACTGAAAAATATGGGTGGTGCTATCCTCTTGTCTTATGTCCTATTTGTTGGGTTCTAGTTGGTTACCATGCCTACAAAATGCTGGTTTAGATGTGTTTATTTGCTCTGATCTGACTTGCTTGTTATTTCTAGTGCAATTTTACAGAGCATACGTGTAAAATTATCGTACGTTTAGATATTTTGACTAATTTATTTATTATAAAGTTTTCCAATATATAATCCCTTCATGAGGGAGATGGGTGGCTCTTAAATATGATAAATAAATAATATAAAAACATAATTATAATTCCTTTAAGCAGATTAAACTAATTTCTACAAATGAACTGACTGAAGGAGTTATTAGAAATAATTCTAAAAATGAATAGCAATAAAGACAATTAAAAGCATATGAATAAGTGGCATAAACAATCCTCTTTCTGATCTAGTTTTTAATGAACAAATATTTCATCATTTCTATTATCATGTTTTATCTGTGATTGGCCATGATGTAAAATGTAATTTGAGACTAACATTTTAAAGACAGTAGGAGGAGGAGGAGGATGGTGAGGGTCATTAGAAGCAGTGGGGAGAAAAAAATCAACTTGCCTGACATGCTTTTGCTGTTACATCAGGTGGTGTTTCTGAGGTAAAGGCTGGTCTAAGAGCAGCACCAACCTAAAAAAATGATAAAGATTTGATAAAATGATATATAGCCTAACATCTGAATAGCTGTTCTTTAAGAAAGCTAACCTTAAAGTAGTTGTATGAGACTGTTGAATAATAAATATTAATTTATTAAATATCCATCCATTTGTTGTTATAGCATTATCAGTACATATCCAAAGAAAACACATTTAGATTTATCAAATTCATACATTTTATGGCACATAATTAAACAGCCAATTCCAAAACACTAGAAATATTATTTTCTGTTATCTTAAATATTAAAAAGCAATAATATGTAACTTGGTCTTTCTTTTTTGGCAAACTCCTCTCAAAATTTACTTACATTGGCTTGGTATTGCTCCAGTATTACATGACCTGGGAATTCTGGCTCTACTACAGCAGCAAATTTTCGAATAAGAATTAACAACATCTGAAGTCCAGAAAGACGAAGTTGGTTGCTATGATCAGTGGCAGCCATAAAAGCCATACGAATTAAATCAGCTAAATATAATACCAAGAAATCACCTGTATGTGATGAAAGGATAACATGAACTTAAACTTTGGTACTTTAAAAAATTTATGCCCATTACCTCTTCCTTTCCTACTGTATAATAGGAAAAGAAAAGTAGGACTAAATGGAGAATCTACAAAATGAAGAGATATTCAAGGTGAAGTTTCTAGAGATTGGTGTAAGATCAATATTTTTTTAATTTATAAACAGAGATGTGGATAATAATGAAGTATATTGATCATACTAATGTGTTCAAGGTATTATGATGCAATGAAAATAGGATTCCAAAGCATTACACAGTATGCCTATATAACTGGGTGAATTTGCTTCAAAAAAAAAGTATATGCAATTCCTGTAAATATAGGCATGGTGATGTACATTGACATAAAAAATCAAACTTTACATATTAATGGGCCCTGAGTTATAAAGAGTTTGATCAAAAAAGAGATTTTGAAGACATGATCCAAGGTCAGGGCGAAGCAGTGTTGTTCAGGCTAGAAGGGACATGCTTAGAAACATTTTCAAAGGAAATAAAAAGGCAACATATAGTATAACAACACTCTAACGAAACTTGATAATGCAATTCTCCTTGGCATACTGCACATTGTTCTGATAAACACAAAGAAGTTTTGTTGAGCTGGAAAAAAAGTGTAAAAACAGGCCAACCAAAATAAATAGGAGTCTTAATCAGATTCCCTAGAAGGAAAGTCTGGGACTTTTAAGCTCAGAGCAAACGGGGGGGAAAGGGCAGACATGATAAAAATATATAGAATCATATTTAAAAGCTAAAAAGAAATTGATAACATTTAAGTGGGAAGATCAGGGATTAGTAATCCTACAAATGGTATGTTTTAAATAGCAACACTTAGCAAGCAACACCAGTGGATGATTTTACATTTTTGTGTTTTCTGAAAGTATCTAGTTGTACATTGGTATAAAAGGCTTACCAACAGGGTAAGGTGTTTTCTTACCCATCTATACTGAAAGTTAGAATTGGCTGTAACAGTAAATCAAAAATTATAATTGTAGATTGTCAAACTTTTGTAGAGTACATACGTCTGTGACTTGTATTTTCAGATTACATTCAGCGTACTATAGATGAACAATTTATTGTGGAATAAAATTCTGGGGAATATAGTTCACATTTGTCTAATGTTCAGAGCTGTCATATATGTCCAAAGATAGAGACATATATAAATAATAAACAGTGTGTCATGAAATGTAAAGATTACAACCTTTAATAAAATAGGCGGGCAGTCTATCCTTTGTCTTTAGAAGTGCTTCACAGAATTGTTTCATTGAGCCAAACAGTAGTAATTTAGGTCTAAAAGCTCACAGACTTCTTGTCAATTGTGATAAAAGTTATAAGGAAAGTGGTTATTCATCAAAATTAAATGTATCTGTGCTTTGAATTCCATGACATTTCCCAGATGATATTTAAGTCAACATCAGCACATACCTCTTGAGTCCCTTTGTTTCATTTCCTGTGCTAAAGCTATGTCAAAATGAGCACCGCCTGCATTCTCACACTGGGTGATAATTTTACAAACACATTCTGCAGCAAAAACTCTAGTAGACCATCGGGGATGTGGGAATGGGTGCAATTTATCCTTCTTTGCCAAAGTTAATGCCAATTCATCATCTCCTTGAGTACCCTCTTCTTCTTGGCTTGTATCCACTGAAGCTACAGCTGTAAAATCTGCATTGAGACACAAAATGGAAAGCAAACTGTTTACTGAGCTTGCTCACATGGTTAAAATAGCAAGATGACAATGAAATTATAACCATGAAAAGGTCAGGGTGAATAACCAACCAGATGTGGAAGGAAGCAGGAAATGGAGAGGCAAATGAATGGGAAAGGAAAAGGTATTTAAGTTGCTATGCTTCCTTACAATGCAACTGTTTCTTCTGATGCTAAAAAATACTAGGAAGCCTTAAGATTAAAAAAAAATCAACAATATTTAGATACTAATACCAAAAAGAACCATTACACTGTCTTCTTGATAAGACCAGGAACATGTAAAGGGGTGGGAGTGAGGTTTGGCAACCATACAGGCTGCAAAAGGCAGACACTATTTCAAATGTCTAGTGGCCAAAAATTTAGGGGTTCTTTCTTCCATTTCATAATCCTCCACATTAGGTGACTTTATGAATCACATTATTTATTATATCCAAAATAAATTGAGAGACATCTGAAAGTCTCCACCAAGGAGGATATTGGAATAGATGACTCCTGAGATTTTTGCTAACTCTTATGTTTCTATGGTTGCATTATTCTCTTCCTTGATGAAAATACTGTGATGTCTTTCTAGAAAGAAGGTATTAGCATACCAGCAGAAGCAGCCAGAACATCTTTGCAGAGTTTCAGCCAAAAGGAGAGTTTTCCAACAGCCATTGATATAAGCATATGGGTCAGAGTTTCTCTGATATCTTGGCACAGTTTTGGGTCCAATTCTTTGTCCAACAAACTCAGCAAAGCTCCTTCAAGGCCTATTTCACCTATATTAACACCTGCATTTTTTAGATAAAAAAACTGAACATGAGGAGCACATTTCAATTCAATTCAAATAATGAATTATTGCCATTAAAAGCTTTCAAAATTACATACTGAAATAATTTTGATACACCTTTAGAAGATAGCTGCTGATTAAATGTATATGGAGATTCTCAATCATTTACTGTAAGTCAGAGTTGTCCCAAAGGTGCTTTTTCCAAAAGGCAGCTGGGCTTTTTTGTGTTATTTCCCCCCTCCCCTTTGAGAACGTTTTGCTTCTCATCCAAGAAGCTTCTTCAGTTTTAAACTAAAGAAAGTTTATGGAGATTCTTAGTCAGCCAGGTCATGGTTGTCCCAAAGGTACTTTTCAAGAGGCAACTGAACTTTCTGGCTTTTTCTTTGAAGATGCTTTGCTTCTCATCAAGAAGCTTTTTTCAATGAAAAAAAAAACCCAGTTGCCTCTTGAAAAAGCACCTTTGGGATAAACAGAAGAAACTTCTTAGATGAAAAGTGAAAACTCTTTCAAAGTAAAAAAATCAAGAAAGTCCAGTTGGAGAAAGCAGCTCAAGAATTACAGAACCGTACCTATTTACATGGCTAATGTATTACTCCAATTTTTCCTAGTATTGTTAAGAAAAACCCTTTAAAAATGTGACTTAGTACCATTAAAAAAGCTCAGCTTTGTTTAGAAATACTACAATATCTTAAACTGACATATTGAAAAATTGTATGAGGTTATTTGGTTGTGTTTTCTTGATTGGTGCCAGGTCTATACATTATTTTTCTTTCAGCACCTAGATGGGATCTATACAAAGATAATCACAACAGACATAAAGCACATATTCAGAAAATAATCATAAGATTATGCTGATCTGTTTACCCAAACATCAGGCCACAAATCAGCATTAATACTGCTGACATATTCCAAATGAAGCATTGTTGCATAAATCCTTATTATTGCTACTGTGGTTTATTTCCAGTTAACTCCCCATTCCTATAGTTACTCCATTATTTTGATTTATTTTGTAGCAGAAATTTAGTCATGGATAGTTGCTGTTTCAACAAATCATGAGAGTTTCAGCCTAGGTTGCAGCCTGAAGTGAGAAATATATTTCTGCAAGTCATTCCTTTGTTTGAAGATATAATATGAGGATTATACGTAATTGCTTTATATTAAAAAAGGGGTTTCTGATGCCGGGCAGAAAACATATCACCATTTCTGCAGTGTTAAAGGTTTGTTATATGATGGGTAAAACCCACTATGGGCAAACCCAATAGATTCTGTTGGTAAAACCTTTTATATCAATGAAACAAGGAATTCTCTCTCTCTTTTCTTTGCAGGACCTCAAAAAGCCACAAAACCTATTCTTGGGTTGAGTGATTCTCATAGGAAAACCTGGTAGGAAAGTGAAATGTGGAAATGAGAAGGAAAATAAGAAAGATTGTTGCCAAATGGATTTCAACTTTTCTGACAAATTGATTCAATCCTATGTGTCAGTGTTTTTCAGTTTCAGCAACTTTAAAATATATGGATTTAAATCCCCAGAATTGCTCAGCCAGCATGAAGTCCATATAACTGAAATTATTGCTGAGATTAAGAAACACTGCTATAGGCTAGTTGCTTAGAGCAGGTCTAAAGTGTTCCTCGGTATACAGAGTGAAAAATACAAATACTACAATGGCCTAACTGGGGAAAAATGTATCCTAAAGTTAAAGAGTTCAGTATTACCTGAAGTAAAGTCTTCTCTACCTTCTTTAGCGAGGGCCACTGCATGTTCAGATACTTCAACTGCCTCTCTCTGCACAAGCTGATGCAAACAAGCTAGAACTGCACGTCTCAATAATAGATACGAACTAGAGAGATTTACCTGAAAAGTATACACAAGAAACAAATTTAACAAATCAGATGGTATCCTTATTATTGGCATTCAGAGGCACACTCAACAGTAACTCTTCAGATTTCTAACTCTTATTTTTGATTAGATTTGGCAGAAGATTCCCAGTTATAGGCAGTTCTTGATTTACAATTGTTCATTTAGTGACAGCTTGCCCTACTGTTACAATGGCACTGAAAAAAATAACTTATGGCCGCTTTTCATAATTATGACTGTTACAGCATCGCCAAAGTTATGTGATCAAAATTCAAGTGCTTGGGGAAACTGGCATGTATTTATGACAGTTGTGCTGTTCTGGGCTCATTTGTACAACCAAATGATCCCAGGACAGCTAAAATCAAGGGGGAAAACCAGATTTGCTTAACAACTACATGATTCACTTAATAATTGTGACCAAAAAAGGTTGTAAAATTGGGCAGAACTCATTTGATGACTCCCTTGCTTAGCAATGAAAATCTGGAGCTCAACTTTGGTTGTAAGTCAAGGACTAGCTGTATCCTACAACCTTCAGTGCATAGAAGTACAATGTCTTGGACTTCCAATGACACTTCCGTTGACGACAGACCAAAGACCACGATTGTGCGTGGCTTCGATCCATGCTTATCCTGTTGGAGGGTCCTAACGGGACTGGATCCATCTCGGACCTACCTCAGAGGGGTGGGGGAAGTGGGGGAAACCACCAGCTGGGTCGAGGGGAGCAGCATCTCCCCTCTCTGACTAGGTATACTCCCCTTGAAGACAGAAGGCAGTGGCAGTTTTAAGGGCTGCCCTGAAGATGGGAAGCTTCCGGTATTTAAGTGTGTGCTGGAGCGGTGAAGTGATGAGCGGCATGTAACCAGACAAAAGAACTTGGATTTTTTTTTTGACAACCCCAAGAAACAGAAAGAAAAAGCCCTCATTTAAGAGTATGGCAGCGGCGAATAGAAAATAAGAGGAAAATATTTTTAAGTAAATGAAAAACTGGATTATAAACTACAACGGAATTAGAGACTAAATTTGGAATAAGATACAGAAACTGGCATTAATTAGGCATTGGATAGAATGCTGGACTTGCCTGGAATTGACTATATTTAAAAGAGCTAATGGTTGAAAATTAGCATTAATACAATTGAAAAGAGAAAAAAGAACTTTGAAAAGTGGAAAGCGATGTAGAGTGCAATCAAATGGTTAAAGATTTCATAGAAAATAAATGTGTGAATGAGAAATGAAATGAAATAAAAGACTATATTACAACAAGAACCCCGGCAGCACTAAAAAGGGGGGAGATTGCAGCAAAAGGACAAACGAAGATAATACCTTGGGATTGTTTGATGTTGATTTTGACAAGGAGACAGAAGGATTAATAAGAGGAATTGAGACAAATGGATATTTTTGGCCAGGATTAAAATAAAAGACTGACTTTTAATAAAATAAAGAATAACTCAACTGATTAAAAATGGAAGACACAGGCAAAGAATTCAAGTCGGAACTACAAACTGTGAGAGGAATGTTAAAAGAAAGAATGGAATTATTGGACACACTGGCAGAAAAATTAATGGCAATACAATTCGCAGAAGAACAAAGAAAATTCAAGGAGGAGGAGTTAAAGGAAGAGGAAAGCAGCTTAGAAGAGCACAGAGAACAAGGGACATTGCCAAAAGACATAAAAGGAATCAAAACTAAGACATTGATGATAGATGTAACAAATAAAAGGGATAATACTCCCAAGATTAAACAAAAGAAGAAGCTGTACAAGAAGAAATTCCAAAAGAGAGAACAGGAAAGGGTGGGGGAAAAAAACTGATTGGCCGATGAAAATAAAAATAATACTAGAAGAAAAAAGAGGAGTAAAGAGGGAAAACTGGAAAAATTTAGAAAAGCGAAAGCTGGAAAAAATTACAAGAAATGATAAGGCCGGGAGATTTAGAGATAAGGGTTAAAGATATTATAAAGGGGGGATATCACATGGAAATGTACTTTGGTATTTTTTTATTAGAAATATAGATTGGGGAGATTTGTGGTTTAAAACTTATTGGAAATTACCTTAAGATTATTATATAATTATATATGAGAAAAATGAAGATAGAGTGAGAGAAATTAAGAGGGCTTTATTGTTATCAAATCCAACTCCGAGAAGCACAAAGCCGAAGACACAAGCCTGAAGATGACGAATGAGACTTTGTCGAAACGTAGCCAAAATACTTCCAATTTTATGCGGGAGAAAACCCAAATAACCAAAGATCCACATACAAATACCCGCGAAAACCTCAGAAAATAAATGTATGTATGTATGTATGTATGTATGTATGTATATAATTGATTATCTAAATAATATTAGAAAAACAGAGAACATGGTAAACTGGAAAAATATGCTATTATGACCAAAAATGTGATGAAAATTTAATAAAACTTTATAGGTTAAACTTGGCTAAATGGAAACAAAAAGGAAACTTAATTCTCTTTCTTTTTTTCTTTTTCTTTAGTGTATACATATTATATTAGACATAAAATAGAAAATGTAATTGATTATATAAAGGATATGAGAAAATAGAGAATATGATAAACCAGAAAGGATTATATTGGAATGTAAAGTATTTGTAATGAGAGTACTCTACTATGATTAAAAAGGAAGGAAATGAAAATTTAATAAAATTTTAAAGGTAAACTTTAGCTAAGTGGAAACAAAGAAAAATATGAAATGGTGATATAAATATCTCTGGAATAAATATAAAATTTATTGTAGACTGGGGGATATACCATGTGGATCCTGAAAATATTAGTTTTATTTTATTTTTACTCTTTTTTGACTGTTTATTATATACTGGCTTTGAGAAAGTTAATGAAGATAATAATGAATAATATAAAATAAAATAGGTGGTAAGCTGAAAATGGAAATAATAGGGGATAAAGAATTCAAAATATAAGTGAGGATGAATGTTTTTGATATTGAATTAATGAATTGAAATATGAAGTGAGAACTCAAAGATCAGTGGAATAGATAATGATTTGATATTAAATTATAAGTTGGAAATGCAATTATGACTATGTATAAATGTTGTAACCTGGAATCATGTTGCTCACTTGAAGAGATATGTAAAAAATAAAAAAACTTTATTAAAAAAAAGAAGTACAATGTCTTAAATAAGAATAAGCAACTCAGAAGCATTTATATATCTACATTCCAGATTTTAAACTCCAGGCATTGGGCTGAAATGGACTTCATTGGCTCTACTTTATTCGTTGTAGCCCTTACACAGTGGGAAGCAGGTGATACAAAGTTTACCTGATGGGTCTTTCTACCTTGGGATCCACTTGTTCCTGCCTTACCAATATCATACCTTACCACACCGCCCCTTCTATTTTATCATACTTCCTCTCCAAATCTCTCCTTGTCATAAGAGAACAAGAAAGTATTCTGCCCTTCCTTGCACCTCCATTTCTTTATTAGCCTGAGCTGACAAGAAATGTTGCTTTCAAGCACCTCTTCCACTCCCCAACCTCCTTTTGAAGAAAGAAGATCAGAAAGTAGGGACATTTCCATGTTGTTGTTGTTTTAACAAGAACCTTCCTATTCCAGAACACTTTTTCTCATCCTCAGGAATCTTTTGTTCCTCTTACAAATGATACAACTGTCTCCTGCTCTCTCCTAAAAAGAATCTCTTTCCTCCTGTGAACTACTGGAAAGATGGCAACTTGGACTTGTGGAGACATTACCAATTTTCTGTCTCCAAAGAGTGTGACATGTTTGGATAAATCTTCTAATGAAGTAAAAGATTTCAGGCTTTCCCTCCTATACTGAGAGGCCAAAATACATTCTACCTTCCTCCCAGAGAGAGGCATGCACGGCAAAAACATGCAAGATACAAGACAAGGTGGAGTGGGGGAGATATTTCAGGGCAATTAGGGGATTCTGGAAAACAGTTAGAAGCTATGGAGAAAAGTTCACAGGATTGACTGAGAAGAAACCACAGCAGCCGGTCTTAGATCATTATGTACCAAGAAGAAATGGATGAAGGCCAGATGCGGGTTTCAGCAGAAGACAGACACTTGGAAGAGGCGTTAGCATAATGTGGTTGGTTCTTTCAGAGTTGCTTGAGCAGTTTAAAAATTTATCGAGAACATGCAAGTAAAGCTTTGCGTTGAGAAGTAATTTTTAATAGGTACAAATAGCTATAGATAGCCTAAAAGGGCAACATCTGATTCAAGGTTTGAACTGAATTACTCTATGTAAACTCAGCCAGTAAAAAGTTCAGGCAGTTTACTTGCTGGTGGTTTAGATAACAACAATAGTATTAATGTAAAGTTTTGTCCTGTTCCCCCCCCCCCCCATCCAGCTGTGGATGATAGGCAGAAGTGAGATTTTACATCTAATACTACATTAGACCTTTCCAAAAACGTGCTGTGAATTGTGGGTGTCTGGCAGAGAAGAATTAATTGGACAAATCCCTGGAAATGTCATGCTGTCTTGGAAAAGGATGGGAAGGCCTTCCCATACTGGAGGAAGCCAGATCTATTAACAGCCAGTAATACTCTGCTAAGACCTGAGCCTGCTAGAATTTAAGGAGCAACCTGAACTTGGCAATATCGCTACAGTAATGACAAACTGAGATGGCCTTTGTGGATTCCAGTTCTAGAATAATTCTCTCTTTTTTAGTTCTTTTAGATGCTGTTTGCTTGAGGCATCTGCTTATACCAGTAGTCCTTAGCTTATGACCACAATTGAGCCCAAAATTTCTGTTATTAAGCAAGATAGTTGTTAAGTGAGTTTTGCCCCATTTTATGACCTTGCTTGCCACAGTTGTTAAGTGAATCACTGCAATTGTTACATTAGTAACACAGTTAAGTGACTGGCTTCCCCAATGTCTTTGTCAGAAGAATGCAAAAAGTGATCACATGACTTTGGGACACCACAGCTGTCAAAAATATGAACCAGTTGCCAAGTGTTCGAATTTTTATCACGACCAATGCTGCAGTGGTCGTAAAGTGTGAAAAACAGTCATAAGTCATTTTTTTCAGTGCTGTTGAAACTTTGAAGGGTCACTAAATAAAAAGCTGTAATTGAAGACTCCCTGTATATGTATGAAAGGTGGGGTGATTTCACAACTATCAATTGTAGATGAACAGCTGTGTTGTCCAAGAGTATTGCAAGATGTTGGGCATCAACAGTCAATGATTTAACATAAATTTAAAAAGTCATAATTATGTTGCCATTTTCCAACACTGTTCTTCAGTCCTTATGCGCCAGAAGATATTAAAATGAGATATTGAAAATTCTGCATTTAAAATATGCACAATTGTTGAAAAATAAAAATGCCTATTTTTGCTCCCAAATACATTAATCATCCGAGACTAATCACTAGGGAGAGATTTTTTTGGGAAAGGTGATATTAGAGCATGAAAGTGATCAAGACACATGAAGACTGCATACCCAACCCAAATCTTAAAAATTTATACTTAAAGTCATCAACCTTCAACTACAGCTTAGAAAAAAAATCAACATTACATTTTTAAATAGTTGGGGACAAAACCCTGCTTTACTGTATGGATGCAGATCTGAAGACTCTGAATCTGAAATTAGTGATTACCAAATACAGAAAGCTAATGAAAAGCAAGCAGCAGAGAATGATGTCTTGCAATGGTCAGGAGTGACTGAAGGCAATTATAGAATCCAAAGCAAGATAGCAGCAGAAGCTATGGCTGGCAAAAAGGGAAGAGTTTTGTAGCTGGGGAGACAACATCAAACCATAACATCAGGTTACTGTATTGGTTTTTAGGGCTTGTTTTGATGCTACCTTTTACTTATTTCTCCTCTGAACTTGGAAGTTCCATCTCATTACACCTATTTACACACTCATTAGGAGATAATCACAGAGAAGCAACATGCCTCTAAGAATAAATTAAAATTAAAAGGTTCCTTTCTTCCAATAAATGTTATACATATCTAAAAATGTGCAAAAAAATAAAGCTAAGCACGGTGTAGTTAGTTTTCTCATGTACTACTAAATGCTTGAATAAGTAACATTAATTGCAGTTGGCTTTTTTCATGTACAAGTGTGTGTATTTTGCCCTCATATGGTAAACTTTTGAGCTAATGAATGTTCAAATTTAATAAACACCTTCTTAACTATTAAACAAGTTTTACTTTAATACATAATTCATTAGGACATTTATAATTGGTGTCAAAAAGAAAAAAAAACCAAACAGGGATACAGTATGTATCAAAATACATCGCAGGACAACAAAAACATTGCTTTTAGAATAGGCTGCCTAATGTTGTTGTGTTAACATTATTTTCAGCATTTATCAAATAATTTATTGAAATGAATTATTTTATTTAATTAATTTAAATGCGCTAATGCTATTCTTATTTTTTTATTTCTTCAATAGCATTTATATGTCACTTGAACTTAAAATGTTTTAAGCTGCATACCAGATCATAATGTAACATCAGAGGATTCCCCCACAAGTCCTCATAATGGGCCAGAGCCCTGATGTAATACTACAGTTTCCAATCATTTTTGAAATGCCAGAAAAGAAGGGGCCAGGTATATCTATGGTGTGTGTGTTTGCGGTAGTGTATTTTATAACAAAGACTGCTACTGAGAACTGACAATTATATGATAAATCCTAAGGAACACTCTTGTGTAACTCTATTTTCTATCTAAACAATATTAAATGACCACTTTTCAGGATTGAATCTAGGTGCTGAAAATGATAATTGGGAAAACAACCAATGAATAGAAAACTATTGCTGTTAGTTTTCTTTTTGATGTGCATGTGTCAAAAATGAATAACTTTAAGGTGGGTGTCTCATGCAAAAGTTGGACAATAGACAATAACAACCAGTGATGATTATTGAAAAAATCATTACTGTGAAAGAGAGGCAAAAGAAGTTAAGAACAGACCTCAAGAGCAACTATAGCAGAATCACAATTTGATAATCAAATGAAATATGATTTGATTATCTATATTCTGTTACATGTACCCTAATGTGTATGTAAAGAAGTTGCTTAATAGGTACAAAAATACGTTCTCATATTTCTAAAAAAACTAACCTATACCGATATGCTCAACATTAACAATTTAAATACACAAATAAATATTTTATACATATAATCAAGCTGATGTTTCACTGTCTTGAGATTTAGGCATGCTTTTTGAAAAGATTCTTCTGCTTTTACATGAAAAAGCCAGAACAAATAAAGCTCAACTGCAAGACAATGCAAAATGCACATTTCCAATTTATTTCATTCTTCATATTTAAAAACAAAAAAGGAAAAAAAGCAACAAAAAAAACCAACACAGAAAAAGCAAGCAATACAAATTATACACACAGACAGACAATTGAAACTCACTCCTTTTGCATTTAATACGCTATGTTAAAATAATGCAAAAATAAATTACACACAGTTTGAATGCCAGTTACAGTAAAAAGATGTTAAGAGAGAATTTAGTTCAGCTCAAACAACACATCACCCAACATGCTAAAAATATGTTGTTTTTCATTAATGGTTAACTATAGAAACAAAGGAAGAAATTAAAATGTACACACACAGAGAGACTGAAAATTGCTGATGTGTTAACAATGCACAAAGACCTACCAACACAGAATTTTCCAACAAGATCTCCTGCACAAAAACAAATAATAATCCAGTCATGATAAAAGCTAGATATTAGAATCCAGTGATCCTTACTTCGACAATACAAAATAATTTCACTGCACCACTTTATTACAATAATGCAGTAATAAAATATTTGCTTATTATTGTTTCATTATTTAATATGTTATTTAAAATCAAGAATGCTATTATAATAGTTGTTCAAAGCCAAATATTACGTACTAATTTAAAAACATACTGGAAACTAGCTATATGTTCTTTTATTACATTATATTAATAATGTAAATCACTCTATGATGAAAATTCATTGGCCTCAGATCTAAAAGAGCCAATTTTGCATCAGCAGTGGCAAAGTTAGAGCCAGGTGGAAATAATATACTGTAATTTATATTTGTAATGTTGGATAATACATTCAAAAGTATTTAATACTGACTGTTATACCTTTTCACAACCAAAACCAGAGCTAAACAAATAGCCTCATCCTCATGAAGTTTAGTAGAGAAGTATGATGATTACCTTTCCAAAGGCTATTTTAAAATCACTACTAGAATTTTTTTCTTTAATATTATTTAGCTTCAGAATTAGTTCATAGCTCAAGAAACACTAATTTCAGTTTGATACTCAGAATATCAATTTTTAAATGGCAGATATGGCAAAAGTAGTCACTACTGGACTCCATGCTAGCATAGGCAATACAGGTAGTCCTTGATTTACGACCATCTGTTTAGTGACAGGTCAAAGTTACAACAGCAATGAAAAAAGTGACGTATGATCATTTTTCACACTTACTACTCTTGCAGCATCCCATGATCACATGATCAAAATTCAGACACTTGGCAAATGACTCGTATTTATGATGATTGCATCATAAATCACCCCGGGTAACGTGATTCCTTTTTGCAACCTTTTCACGAGCGAAGTCAAGGGGAAAACCAGATTCACTTAACAACTGTGTCACTAATTGCAGTTACTAACTGCAGTGATTCACTTAACAACAGTGCAAGAAAGATCATGAAATGGGGCAAAACTCACTTAACAGCCATCTCACTTTGCAACATAAATTTTGGGCTCAATTGTGGTCATAGGTCAAGGGCTACCTGTATTATTTTCAAACCTCTTTGAAGAGCATCCATTCCCTTATATTCCCCCATAGATGTATCAACACCTGATAATATTTTCCTTCTGCTATCCATACAGCCCAACTTTTTGTATAAAAAACAAATGCATATTAGATATCAAAACACCCTTTTAAAGAAATGAGTGAGTGAATGTTTTGTCTCCCATACTTAAATCTGTTAATAATTTATATTTCACCATACCTAATCCCTGCCACCTCCTCAAAAACCTTCACAGGGGGGCTGTTTTGCTGAATTATAATTATTCAATTTCATGGAATTAATTTTCGTCATAATCAAAAATTTATCAGGTATTAAGCTGCTTTGGTCGAATGGTTAAAGGCGTCAGGTCTTTAAAGCAAGACTTAGCCATATAAGCCAGCTGGGTGACTCTGGGCCAAAGTCATTCTCTTTCAGCCCAACTCACCTCACATGGGAAATAGGGGAAGTAAGGTATGTTAGATATGTTCACCACTTGAAGTTATTTGTAAAAATAATGAAAGCAAGATCAAATAAATAAATAATTAAAACATTAAAAAATATCCCACGTCTGACAATTTCTATTTAGAGAATGTACTTTCTTAAAAGATATCTGAACTTCAGTGAAAAAGACACAATTCTTGATCCTGTTTTTTTTTTTCCTATAAAATGTCCTTTGCCTTTGCTTAAATTAATTCAAGGTGTGGAAGTGAAAAAGAGCATTTCACCAACTTTAAGAGGTGTGCCTAAGTGAAATTCATGAACTGCTTGGTGGAGAGGAACTGCTTCAAAGAGTTCGTAATGAGTCACTGAAAAGTGGCTTTCTCTTCTTCCCATTGCACTTATGGATATGTGTATGACTGTGTTTGTGTATGTGCACAGTGTGTTTATGTGTGTGTGCATCAGTGCTAGGATTCATTTTTTTTACTACTGGTTCTGTGGGCATGGCTTGGTGGGCGTGACAGGGGAAGCATAATGCAAAATCCCATTCCCTGCCCATCCCACTAACCTGCTTTCCAGCTCCATTCTCCTATGCAGGGAAACAAAAGAAGATCCAGCCGATCAGCTGGGACTCAGGAGGCAAAGAATAGATGGGGGCAGAGCCAGTCAGAGGTGATATTTGTCGGTTCTCCGAACTACTCAAAATTTCCACTACCAGTTGTCCAGAACTGGTCAGAACCTGCTGAATACCACCTCTGGTGTGCATGTATGTGTGTGTGTGAGAGAGAGATGAGGAGAAGGAAACTGCAAAGAAATGAATGTTCCTAGTCATTTAGCAGTTCAGTCAAGTAACTAACTTCCTGTTTTTTTACCAACAGAAAATAATAATCCTGCTAGGCGCATTTTCTTTCATTTGTTCTACTTCTACCAAAACTAGCTGACCTGTTATAGCCTACCCCTGTCTTTAGGCAAACAGGAAAGAGACATTTTCCTATGGAATATATTCCTTCTCTCTCAAAATACTTTCCACGCTCCCCCTACCTTCCTCCTCAATGCACTGAATTTGGTTCATTAAACTAGGAAACAAGTCTCATATATGTTTTACGTGCATGCACACACATACATACATACATACACATACCACACTATAGACACGTGTAAAGTAGAGGGTCATTTTGTGATATTGTGCTAAAGTCAATCATGAGACTAATGGCTAATATAAAGTTTATATTCACATTTCTGAAAGCAATGGATTGTATTATTTCAAAATATTCTGCTGAATTTGGTACACAAACTGCTCTTCTTGGAAACACTAATTTGAACATTCTGATTCTAAAGTTGCAAGTTACTCTGAAAAAATATGTGTAACATAGCTATATAGCTACATAGTCGTATAGTTGTGTAATTATATACTTACACAAAGGCACTTGACAAGACTCGACAGGTTTACATGATGAGGAGCAAACATGTGAAGCTGCTGAAGGCAAGAGATAGCTTGAGCCTGGATGAGGCAGTCAGGATTTTCCTGCATCACTGTGCAGCCAAGGAGACAGGATGCCCTTAAGGCTACGACTGCAGCACTGCTGCCTACACATAAGGCAAAAAAGGGGAAATATGTTGCTCCTTTTATCACTTTCTTCATCAGCCGAAGAACATTTCAAAACAATAAAAAACCAAACTACAATAAAGACGTTTCTCAAATTATTAACATCTGTTTTTAAAATCTACTTAGGTCATGCTTTACTAAAAATATACACTTATTTCCACAGAATCTCTATTACATAGAAGGATATCAAAAGAAGGGAATATATGTAGTTAAGGAGTGAACTGTGGGCTCCTTGGTGCTCCCTGAACTTGGTGTTTGCTTGCAGACACCTCATTACCCAACAGGGTAATATCATTAGTGCTAGTGAATAGCTCTTAAGTAAACCACAGCACATTCATGAATACCAACTAGCAATCAAAACATGTGACAATAACTCTGTAATTTCACAGCACATTGGCAGAATCAATCATAGTTTCAACTGGGAAACTGATAGTATTCTAGGTCCAAAAATGCTAGGGAATTCCTGAAAACTTGGCACTCAGACAAATCAGCCATCATTAGACACATAAAGATAAACCACATTTACACAGCATTCAAAAGAGACAATAAAAAGCTAAGAAGGCAACAAAAAGACCAGAACACATGCTCTCCAAGCATTCAACATCAGGCAATGTTAACATCAGGCAAACAAGCAGAAAACAACACCCTAATCAAGAAACTACCAAGGAGAAAACCCATACTCTCAACCAACATGGCTGGGCAAAAGCTACTATATTTAAACAAGGAGTAAATGCCACATTGACTAAAACTGATGATGTTACCTAGATGGATAATGAATGTCTGAAAGCAAACAACCAAGCTCAGAGAGCAGCAAACGATTCCACCATGTAGAAACATATTTCTCCAAGCGGGAGACCCTACACCATTTCTGACAAATCTCTTCTGGAAGGTCTCAAGTGATGGCGTTCCCACAACTTCTGAGGATAAGATGTTCCATTGGTTGATTGTTCTCACTGTCAGGAAGTTTCTCCTTATTTCCAGGTTAAATCTCTCCTCGTTCAGTTTCCATCCATTATTCCTTGTCTGGCCTACAGGAGCTTTAGAAAACAGTTTGACCCTTTCCTCTCTGTGGTAGCTCCTCAAATATTGGGAGACTGCTATCATGTCTCCCCTGGTCCTTCTCTTCACTAGACTAGCCAAGCCCAGTTCCTGTAACCGTTCTTCATATGCCTTAGTCTCCAGTCCCCTAATCATCCTGGTTGCTCTTCTCTGCATTTCAGAGTCTCAACATCTTTTTTATAATGTGGTGACCAAAACTGGATACAATACTCTAGATGTGGTCTTACTAAGGCTTTATAGAGTGGTATTAGTACCTCACTTGATCTTGATTGTATCCCTCTGTAAGTGCAATTTAGGATTGCATTAGCTTTTGTTAAAAATTAAATATTTAAATATTAAAAATATTTAAATATTTTTATTCTCTACTCTCTTAATTATAATTTGTCAATAACTATTGAATACTAGAAGTTTCTCTACGAAGGAGGAAAAAAGAGCATTACTTTATTTCAAATTCTCAGATAAAAGTGTGTATAAATCACAACTCAGGTGGAAGTCAAATAAGATTGTGCATGACTTTGTAAAAATACAAATACTCTAAAGCTTTTGTCATGGTTTCCCATGCTTATTTTGGTAGCAAATTAACTCAATGATTATTATCTTACCTCCTAAGTATCATTTGTCAGAAATGTATGCATACCTTGCAACTCAGGACCCAAAGTGGCTATAAGTGCATTTAAACAGCGACCAAGGCTTTGATGGACTTCAGTATAAGCAGGAGGCACAGTCAACAACAACATAAGAACAAGAGAGAGGGTAGGTTCCACATGCACATGATATAAAGGACCAGCAGAATCAATAATCAGTGACAGAGAATGCAGTGCCCACATCTGTAAAATACCAAAAATGTAGTGTTGTCACACACAGGCACAGGCACAAAATGTGTGTAATGGGCATGAAAGTAAATGGGAAATAATTTGCTAAGTATGATGAAAATCAAAGTTAGGTGTAAAATAAAAGCATTTAATGAAATGGGGAGGAATATTATGCCAACAACACAATACAACATGTAAAATACATATACAGAATAAAGCCATCTAGACCATGGTTGTCCAATCTTTTGGGAGCTCTATTCTGCATATATCATCTTCCTTCAGTGTACTCACACTTACCTAAGTTGGCAGCAGTATACATGTGGGAGACAAGAGAATGGATGTGTCTGTCACAGTAGCAATTGTGTCACTATAAACTCAGGGAATACTGTTCTTAATTATCTGAAATTCAAATTTCTAGCACATGCTGTATTTCTTCTCTCCCTGTTGCGGAAGAGGTGAATAAAAAGAAGGAAAAACAAGGAAGGAACTTTAAACCGGTGTCAGATCTGACACCGGTTTAAAGTTCCTTCCTTGTTTTTCATTCACGGTTAATCTTTCTGCTATCAATTCTGCTATCACTCATGATTAGGCTTTATGCAACCAATAAGTACCAGAACAACAAACATGTGTTAAAAATTCAAATAATATTTTGCAATGTATTTTTAATAAGACAACATAAATGTTAATTTTCATTCCATAAAACAGGAATAGTGTGTGTGAGTGAGTGAATGTTGTGTATGTGTGTAGGGCTTCTTTTCTCTTAGAAACTTGTCATCATCATCATCATCATCATCACCATCTACAATACATACCTGTACTTCAGGTGAAGTGTTATCCTGAGATAAAGTAGAAAGTATTCCAACACATGCAGTAAGATGATGACCGGAACTTATTCCTCCCGTATACTTATAAAGAGAGCCCAGAGCCAAAGAATGTCCTATTCTTGATATCGCATCTCTTGCAGATTTTAGCCTAAGAATTGTAAGGAAATTTGATTAAAATAAAATAATTGTAATTATGAAGTCTAGTATTAAGTCTACAGAAAACTTATTAACCAGCGTTTTTCTCATATCCAATGCCCTCTAAGTGTGTTAGAATAATAAAGCTTTAACAGGATGCTAAGAACTGTAGTGCTAGCATATTCTTGAAGACACCAACCTTAGAAAGATATTGCAAAATCACTATTTAATTTTTAGGCCTTAAAGGAGGAAAGGGAGAACAATGGGACCATATTCATATCATCATCATCAATAACAATAACAATCACACAAAAGTAATAACTCTGAAGTTCTCAAGAGGAGGGTAGCCTATTGAATTTTGGCAGCTAGAGTTCTTATCACTGTCTTGGTTTATACAGCCAGGATATCTGTAGAGTGAGGATGATAAACTTGACAAAAATATGCAAGGTCCATCAATAGGTCAATAGTAAAACATATTTCAAGCCCACAACAAACAACATTTGTAAGCAGCCCAAATGAAAATCTTCCTAATTTACTGAAGCGGAAGAAGGGCAGGAAGTACAACAGAATTATATTTGCAAGATTTTGTTATTATAGTTAATCTCAATGAAAGTAGTTTTAGCCATGTTGTGGAGTTAATTTCTTGGTCTGATCTACCTAACAGGGCTGACAATATCCGAACTGAATTCATAATACTTCAAAATTTTTGTATAGTTTCTACACAAATTACCAATTAAAAAAATGTACCACCACCCCCATTCATGAATATGCCATTAGTTAAATTTCAATCACTGAAATGCATAAGAGTAAAATTATACTAAGCTCTTACTCGTGTTTACTCAAAAGCAAATCCCATTATAAGTATCTTCAAAGTAATCCCCAATAAATGTGTTCAGAATTATTGCAGACATAATATTTTGCTGCCAGGAAATACAAACCACCCTTTTTGATGCAATTTTAATGGCTGCTTGAACAAATCTCTAATGTGTTTTAGAAGGGGGGGGGGGCAGGAAAGCAAAGGAGAAAATATACAGTATTATTCAGAGACATACAAGAAATGTTTTATTTCTTAAAATGTGCAAATAATACATATCTAATATAGACTATAGCAGTTGTAATTATAATTTGTAGATTTTATTATGTGATATATATTTTTCATTTCAAACAAATTTAAATTCAATTGTTAAATGATTGATGTATAGTTTTTTTGACTTGAATTCTGAAGAACTTTATATTTACTAAATTAACATCTGTAGATGTTTCACACAAGGTGTGTGAAAGAAAGGTGCTGGCTGTGTAATTCTGGGAGTGGAAGTCTACACATCTCAAAGTTGCCAAGGTTGAGACACACTATACTAGGTATTTACTTTTCTGCCTCCGCTCCTCAAATACTTTCCTTTTTATAAATTAAAAAAAAATCCATTCAGGGATGGGCCCAAAGGGGTGCCTATTTTTGAATCAATGCAATAAAACCATATTATGAGAAATTGCTTACTTGTCAAAGCTAATTTGTGCCAATCCAGCAGTGAAGGTATTATCAGCTACCACCTGTGCGAGTCTGGCTAGGGCTTCAGCAGCAGAACATCTTAGAAGTGGACTGCTACTTTCCAAGGCACTTAGGATCAAGCTCAAAATACAGCTTTGGATTTCTTCATAACCTAAATTTCCCTTATGGCTAGCCAAGTGCTAGATATAAAGAAGAGTTTATAAACAACATCACATTACTTAACAGTAAATATTTTCCTTCTTTCAATAGACATGTAAATAGGAGAGGAAATGAAAATCAATATACTTGTTATATTTGTATCCTGCCCAAGAACAAATCCTCTTAGAGCAGCTCTCATCAACTTTAAAAGCATAAACATTACAAAAAGCCATAAAACCGTTTAAAGAAATCAGTATACATTACATAGTAGATTCAAAATAAAATCTATTTTGGGAAGATTTTAAAAGAACATCTAAAACTACTACTGTTTTCTACAGAACTCTAGAGGGAGATCCCTAATAAGTAACAATATGTGCATAAACATTTTAAAGCTAAAGGAAAATTAATTCTTCAGTTACCTCTGGGAAGATAAAATTATAGGCAGGTTATAATTTCCTCTTGATTCTAGATGCCAAATTATTTCACAATCTAAAATATCTACAGATACATGAATGTTCCCTTTTTTAGGCTTTCTAAAGCATAAAACAAAGTGATATCCTCTATTATTTCAGATTTCTCCATTATAATTCAACTAATGGCTATTCTACATCAGTATTATGCTATTTATTGAAATGTACAGTCACCTTTTTATCCTTGGGATCCAAGGCCCACACAATTCTGCTAATATTATGTATATTATATAATAACAGAGAATAGAACTGCAAGGTAAGAATTCTTAAAGCTTTGAATGCTACATTAAATTTATACTGAATATTATTTAGCATAAAACATTGAGCATGAAAGAGCCATAGTGAATCTGTGAACATGGATATTGCCCTCATTCCCTCTTATATTAAAAGGTTTTCAGAAGTTTGTGTCATTAATGAAAAGGAATAGTACTTTATTATATCATCTAAAGCAAAGGTCTTCAAACTTGGCAAGTTTAAGACTTGTGGACTTCAACTCCCGGAATTCCTGAGCTAACATGACTGGAGGAGGAATTCTGGGAGTTGAAGTCCACAAGTCTTAAAGCTGTCAAGTTTGAAGACCCCTGATCTAAAGGAACACATTGTGAAGACTTTGTTTAACATCAAAGCAAGGCAAGTTTAAGTTATTTAATATATAGTAGTCTGTTGAAACAATACTTAGAACTTCTCTCAGATGACCTTAAAATTTTAATGAAGTTTTTAGATGAGAAGAAAATGGATTGATTCTTGATATGTGTTTTATGCATGCTATATTAAACCAAGACTGCATTCATTTATAATGCTAAGCCATACAGGGTGGTTTACCTTTTATTTGAAAAGCAAACAAGCATTAGTGGTAGGTATGGAAATAAATACTTTGCAAAATGAAACAGATAGCATCTAGCTATAGATGGCATTCAATCAACTCAACTTTGGAAGCACAAGATATAATAGCAGTTGAATTCTTCTATTTATTTTTTAAAGTACATTTTTCAATACTAGATAGACAAGAAGTAATTTCGAAGAAAACAAGACTCCCCTTAAATGATTATAATGGATATCACTGACTTTCATAATAAACAGAAGGGTGACTCTTACCTTTAGGGCACTGCAAATTGCTGATATAATATTTTGCTGTATTATCTGCTGCCGTGATCCTTTGGTTTGCTTTATGGATGCCAATAATTGTTCCAGCACTTGTAGCCTTAAACGCATACGAAGTCAAAAGGAAATGGAATAATGAGCCTTTTTCCCATTTCATATACTGGAGAGGCTTCTGTTGTCATATGCTGTAAAGTCTATATAATATGGCTCAACAAGATGTTTATTTCTTAGTTAATCAAATTCTCTCTTAATATTTGCCTATATTTCTTTGTCAAGGCTGTAGCTGCCTCTTAAAAACATCCAGACAACGACTGTGGCAAGCATACAGTATATTTCAGTATATTTCAGTGTATTTCTTATATTCCTAATTCAGGGAAATATGTCAGAACTTTCTAATAAAATAGATACACACACACACACAAGTTAATAAAGTTGCATCTACAATTTATTTCAAATCATATTTATGTGGAATATAAACGAAGTTTTTTCTAACAATCTCATCTACCAAATGAGAATAATAATATCTGAATTCAGAGTTCTTAAAAAGATCTACACAATAAACACAATACAGCACTTTTCAGATTCATATTCCAATCTTTGCAAATATAATACAATAAAATCAATTCATATAAAAAGTGCAGGTCTATGACATTGTTTTATACAACTCCAGTACTGACTGTCCAATGAGCTTGCTTAACTGCATAATTATAGTCATCTAACATTCGTCACACTGTTATACTAATCAGAGGGAAACCGTTGGCCCTGTAATATGTATATATATACATATGTACATACATATCTATATACATACATACGTACATATGTACTTTGTATATAAATTAAAACAGACAATTCTTATTATGGTTTAGTTCATAAGGCAAAAAGAATGTTTAGATAAATTGCATGTTTTTGAAAAAAATAATGTATTTCCCATGAGTAATTAATCTGAAACTGAAATCTCATCTTTCTCTTTACCTTTGGGTCTCTGTTACTTGTGAAAATATCACTCCAAAGAGACGGGTTGCTGCACTGACAATGGATGAAGTTGGAGGCAAAGGCTTAGGCACTGAATCTCCGTGTGCAGCCTTCTCATAGATTGCAAATGGGTCAAACTCCAAGCTTCCCCCAGCTGTGTTGTTAACTAAGAATACCTGCAAAGACAGAAGAAATGCAGTTGTCATTGCAGGACAAGGGTTTTCTCCTTTATGTGCATAGATAGCCAGTAAAATATGATACCTGCTCTTCAATAAATCTGTGTTCTGTCTCCTGCAGGAAGGGATCAAATAAGGCAAGTTCGCAGTGGTGGGAAAAGGGCGGAAGATATGCAGCAGAGGCAGCTGCCTGATTATCATGTTGAGTCAAGTCTTGCACTAGTTCTTTAAGAACAGCAGAGAAACTTCCTGTAATTTTAGAAGTGAAAGAAAGAAGGTTTTTTTATGCGTGTCTGGTACCCAAATACACTACTGCCACAGTATTTTAAGGACAAGAAATGTGATTTCTGATAAATGTGTGGATTTGAGGGTAATAAACCTGAATAGGTTTAACGATCTCACATGAAATATTCTATGCCAAAAAATGAAAGGCTTTCTAAAACAAGAATGTAGCATATCATAATCAACTGTTAGAAAGAGAAGCTGAAGAATTTATTTCATCCAGAAATTATTGCAATAGAGCAAAAGTTATTTTAAACACAAATATAACTTAATGCAGAGGTATTTTCTTTTTAGGTACTTATTAGTAAATAGATTTGGCAGTACCAAACATCAAGTAACTTTTGAAATAAATCTGATGTTGAAAGATTGATACTCTGGTGAAGCACCAGATTCAAGATTACAAATATCAAGAGAAGTGTTTTTACAGCTAGAATTTCTTTTTATTTTCAGTGACTGGGTAGTCTTTCTGAAAATATAGCTCATGTTTCTAAACATGTAGCATTTAATAGTGAAGGGAGTATAATAGAAACAAAAAAGAAATATGTTAGCTTATAATACATTACTTCCTTTACAATGCCTTATAATACATTATGTCCTAGGATAAAACTACAAATCAGCTGTGAAAAACAGAAAACTCTTGGTCATTACAGTAAGTCTGAATTGTTATGTATTTTTAATTGTTTACCCTGCAGTTTAAATTGACTTGGTGGAACAACTTAAGGTTTAAAAAGGTGAACTGCTATGTGGTCTAATATCTGTTACTCAGTGTTACAGCAATACCTCTATTTCTGAATTTCACTGCACAAAGGCATACATCTACATTCTCTATGTGCCAAATAAAAATACTGAAAACAAAAAGCTGAGGAAAAACCATAGAGCTAAAAGTTCACGTAATCACTTAGATTCTGAATCGTAATGCACACAATGTACGCTCTGCTGTCATGCTTGAATTTATAAAGGCTACCAAGGCAGCATTTTATCCCTTCCTTGAATACTATACACTACTTTTTAAAATCTTAACCTTTATTCAAATTATACTTTCTCTGCCTCTATTTTTTTTACTAGTATTATGCATGGAATTTATCTGGTACAAGTTTTTCAAATATCATTCTGTGTTAAGGCTTTTTCTTATATACAAATTAATTATACTTTATGCTACAATGCTTTACTTCTGCTTTTGTTACTAAAAGAAGACAAGAAATATTTTGGGAAGAACTATACATACCTTCATAACTCTTGGGAGGCAACAAAGCAAGCAGTTCATAAAGTCTTTTCCTATATGTCACTGATGATAGTTTTAAAGCACTGCCATACATTTTATTTAGTGAAGGAAGCCTTTAATGGTTAAAAAAAAATCCCACTGTTACAACAAAAGCTGTTCAATTAATTTAGAGTCATGTATGTAAAATGGGCTGCCTATATAATAAATAAATGAATACATTTGCTATTGATTTCATACATATGGACAGCTATCTGAACTGAAAGGGAAAAAAGTGATTCAGAGCAAGGTCAATTCCCTTAAAGAAATTGTAGCCTTTCCTTTGCTTGCTCAGCCATAGCTAGCACCTGATCCAAGAAAACATTCATGATTTAAGGTGGTGCCAACAGATATAATGTACATTCCATATGTACGTCAGATCACCTTTTATTAGTCCTATAAGTACTAAGATATACTGTAGATCTAAAAGTGCAGTTATAATAATAAAATCTTGCTCATGCTACCCTTCCTGCCTCTTTTATTTTCAGGAGAAGGGCAGGAGGCTATAGGAGGCATTTTTGCAAATTACATTCTTGACCTGGGCTCAAGTTTCTTTTATTGATTGCTGCCTTAGTCCTTCAAGGCCATTCTCTTTATTCACTATGCCTTTCCCCCCTTTCAATTGAGTTCACTGCATCATCCTGATAAACACACATGAAAATGACCACTGTATTTAATACTAAAACACTTCAGAACACTCACTTTCAGTCACAACTGGGAATGGCAACTCCATTGTTAAACAATGCAGTTGTAAAGTAAAATCATGTGACTGTGCCAGACTTATGTCAGTTTGTCAGTTCTTTTTGTGGTCATAAGTGAAATACTGCAGGTCAGAAGCATGATGTCACCTGATGATGGCTTGTGACTTTTTGCTGGCTTCCCCACTCATTTTGCTGGTCAAAAGTCAGAAGCCAAATAGCAATCAAGTGATTGTGGGATAATGTGATCCTTATAAATATGTGCCAGAATCATCATGACATAACCATGGGGATGCTGTGACGGCTGAAAATTTGAGAACTGGTTGCAAGATTCCTTTTTCAGCACTAAGTACAGGTAGTCCTCCATTTACAACAGTTCACTTAGTGACCGTTCACAGTTACAACAGCGCTGAAAAAAGTGACATGACTATTTTTCACAGTTACGACCTTTGAAGCATCCCCATGATCATGTGATCAAAATTCAGATGCTTGGCAATTGGTTCACACTTATGGCCATTGCTGTGTCCCAAGATCATGTGATTTTTGCGACCTTCCGACAAGCAAAAGTTAATGGGGAAGCCAGATTCACTTAACAACCAGGTTATTAACTTATCAACTGCAATGATTCACTTAAGAACTATGGCAAGAAAGGTTGTAAAATGGAACAAAACTCACTTAACAAATGTCTTGCTAATTTTGGGCTCAACTGTGGTCGTAAGTCAGTAACTATCTGTATACATTAACAACCAAATTATATAAATTATACTATTCTGTACTCATTCTTCTCTTCATAATATTAATCTTACAATGTTAATAATATCATGATTTTATACTTTCCTTTAGTAAATTAAATCTTAAATCTTAGTTATCATATTATGTAGACTATACTATCACAACGGGATGGCTGTAATTTTCTCACTGAATTCTACTTTATGTTGATTGAGGATGAAGATAAAAATATTATTACTTACTGTGTCAGTAAATCAACAGCACATGGGACAGGAGGAAGCAATCTTTGAATCACTTCGTCTGTAAGGAGTCCTCCACAATAGAGAATAAAGCTTTTGATAGCTGAGAATAAAGCATATTGATTGCACATCAGTCTATATACACAAATCATAATACAATCTTCTTATAGAAAGAAGTAGAAAAAATAATAAGAGAAGAATGTTATAGTAAATTATACTTAATTGATATATTTGGAACACAGTCTTGAGATGGATGGTATATAAATACATGCAATTCTGAAACCACAAATAATACTGTTGTACTATGGAATATAAAAGATAGCAATTCTACATACTTAAATATGTAGCAAGATGTTCACTACTTTTCATCCAGAAGTAGTGAAAGAGATAGATTATCTCCAATGCTTGAATAATGAATTAACAGTCTGATAGTATAATATATCAGAACATTAAGTTAAAAATTAATCTTCAAGATTAGTATTGATTAGTAGTACCTCTCTTATTCACCAAATGTCCGCATGTAATATAGCAATAAATAAAATTTTATACTTGAAACCAAATAAGCTACAATTACCTCATAGTCTAGATATTTATGTGTAAAAAAGTGTTATTAAAGATCTGGAACTGGAAATCAATGGAGAAAAAAGAAGACTGTTCTTTATTTTTATTACTACTGATAGTTCAAAAAAAGTGGAAGTATAAAGAGCCACGATTTTCACCCACCACAGAGAGCACCTGCTCGGCTTTCCAGTGTCACTTGCCATGTAAATGAATCACCACGTTTCTTCTCAGTTTCTAAGTCTTTAGGACATACCGGAAATGCACATTTCCATAATAACAGCACTCTAGGAAGATGATGCTGGACCACGGCAGGACCTATTATTTTTAAGATTGGAAATGTTTTTTGTAGGTGGTATTGACTGAAACATTTTCTTTAATGAAAGTATTTTATTTTCCCTTCATCCTGAAGCTCCTGTGTGCCCTTTCAAAATACTCTGAAAAGTGAAGGGACCTTTTGAAGCAAACTTTGATGGGTATGAAGAATTGCAAATGGAGAAGTGGAAATGTTCAGTTCTGTGAAAATATTTTTTTATTACGCACCCAATGATTTCACCCACTATGAATTATTGTATTCAGACAGTCCTTGGTTATGACAGCAATTGGGACCAGAATTTCCATCACTAAGCAATGCTATCATAAAGGTGACTGCATTGCTTAGTGATAGCAATCTTGCAGTCCTGATTGCCACTGTAACCCCAGGACCTTGTGGGTTGTTAAGGGAGATGCCCAGGCAGAGGATGGAGGTTGTAAGGATGTTACAGGCAGGTGCTGAGGTGCCAAAACAGATGCACAAGATGCTCAGGGAGGTAGGGACAACATGGGTAGTTGCTATGACAAAAAAATGGTGGGAATGACTTCTTGTTGACTTCCCCATCCCCATTGACTTTTCATGAGCGAAGCAAGCAAGTAACGTATGATTATGCTCACATATTCATGAGCCACACACTGAGTGCTTGGATTGCAATCATGTGACAATGGGGATACTTGTGACAGCTGGAACTCCAAGGACCAGTTGTAAGCCCCCCTTGTTCAGCACTGTTATAACTTTGAACAGATGCTGAATGAGTGGTTGTAAAGACTATTAATGTTAGCAATACAAGAAGAAAATAAAGATCATTGGTTATTCTTCCATTGCCTTATTATTGGCGTTCGGGAAAACTACCCTAACATCCCAATCAGGACTAAAATTCTCCTCTGCATTGTTCTCATGTTCTTCCCATAAACTGTACAGAGGACACCGTGGAAAACAATACTGTATAGTCCCATGTTACATGAATGTTTTGCAAGGGCTGGAGAGAAAACCAAAATTATCTTTAATCCACATATTCATATTTGTTTTTTAAACTGTTTACTTCACCCTTGAAAGTATGGTTGTTTGCTTATGATTCATATATAACATGTTATTGATATAATTTGTGTATTTGTTATAATGGAAAAGATAATTCCCTATGGCCTATGACAACGAAGTAATAATGTAAGTTAACTATATTTCTACAGCTATGAAACAATTAGAACTTGTTCATATATATTCAAAGTGACATCAGATAAGATGTACGGAAGTGGTTAACTTTTATGATAAAGAAATAAAGATATATAGGTGAATAATCTTACCTAATGTCATTAAAGCAGCTATCAAAAGCCAACCTGACTGCATTCTTTGTATTGAAATCCGACTATTCTGAGAAGCTGAACGCAAAAGATCCTCAGCTACCATCATGACAACCTATATGAAAACAAACATTTTCACTATTTTAAGAGCTGAAATTCAAAATTAATTTCTTAAGAAGAGATGTATATACGCTACTTCTGCAAATTAACTTTCTCGTGTAAATACAATACATGGAATAAATTCTAGAACTGTTATTCCTTGTGAGCATGAAACTGAAGATGATAATATGTTGTGTCGCATAATTTTTTATGAACTAGACTCTGCTTCCTCAGATACAGTGAAATTGTCATCTACAACCAATAAGCACACTATGCATTGCCTGGGTTTATAAATCATAATTGGATATGATTTGTTTTAAGCAAGATGTGTTAGATAAGACACAATAGCCATCAATTCACATTGTGCAGAGACAAAAAAAATCACAATTTTCAAACCATTATATTTGTCTTCACACCATGTTAAAAATCGAACAAAATTATCTTCAGTCACCTGGAATAATTTCAATATGGCAAGGTTTAATTCTATATTATTAGCACAGTGGAATTATTAGATACTACAGACTCTTCTATTATTGTCTCCTTTTATACACACACTGTCACATGCTTTGTTCACTTTATTCACTCCAAATCTCAGGTTTGCCTGGCTCTTTCAATTGCTGTCCCTGTGTATTTGCATGTTTATATACTTTTACAATCACTTTACATGTAGTTCTTTTCTTATAACCAAAGGAAATCTGTCTATTACGGCTGTAAGTCATAATGGTCATAAAGCAGGTCATCATGTGAACAATCCAATTTTATGACTTTTTAAATGACATTTATTAAGCGAATCCCCATGGTTGTTAAGTGAATCCATAATAACCCATTGGGCATTTTTGCCAAACCCCAGAAATAGCAGGTTTTCAGCAAATATCACAGTCGTGTAATCACAGTCATGTAATCATGGGACACTGTACATATGAGTTGGGGGACAAGTACTGCAAAATGCAATTGCTGTAACTTCAGACATAAGTAGAAGAATATCTGCACTTGACAAGCAACCAAGCAGAAGTTTTGTCTGGGCTGGCACGTGTAATAAATGAGCCTTTGCACACTCTTCTAAAACAAGTATTAATGTTTTGAGGCAGGCTATTTCACTCTGACACATTCTACAAATCACCTCTTGCAAATGTTTCGCACATGTCTAATAGGCAGATGGAATAACTAAACAGCAGTAAGAGTTTCATTATTGAAGTATTTATGACTGGTTCATGTACTCTGTGAAACATAATTTGTAAAACTGAAGCAATTGAGCTACAGTATGTGAAATGTTACACGTTTCTGAATATAGAGCTTCATCGTGGACAGGTTTTTCCCTGAAGAATTTGATATAGTATTTTAAAAAGCTAAGTTAGGGAACATAACATAAAACAAACAATAATTCATTTATCAAAATAATGACATCACATTATTTAAATATGTATTCTAGCTGCACAGAAGTGACAAAAAATAATTGTGACACTGCAGCCAATACCAGATGAACAGTTCTAATAATTACCTTTCCTTTGCCATGCGGAATTCCTAAAGGACATTCTCTGACAGCTCCTAATAAAGCAGCAATGGCAAAACTATAGCCAGTCACTGCTTCTGGGGAGGATTTCATTGCTGTCAGGCGCTCAATACAGCTATCCAGAAGTGGAGAGAGATAACAGGGTAATGCTACAGCAATACATCGTAAGCACCATGCTGCTGCTAGCTGAACTGAAATACAGGGATGAAGGATAATGGAGATTACTGCATCCAGGACTCCTGGAAAATCAAACGTATTACACAATTAGAAACACATACGAGAATGCTTACTAAGACAGTAAATCAACAGAGCTTTCACTTTTTGCCCTTATATGTCCACTGTAAGCTAAAAAAATAACCTCTACAGAATTGTCATAATTGTCTGGGAGACTGATAAAAGTAAAGAAGCTACGCAGTGCAAACCAGGTGTCCAGGAGGCATGCCAAGAAGAGCTAGGGAGATTCTTGTTCCTGACTACATCATCACCGGCAGAGTATTTGTGGCAATGTGTTGCAAAAAGAAAGATAAATTCCACTTCAGCAGCAAAACTGCAATTTTATACAAACATCTCTTCCCAAGAATTCTGCAATAAGTGAATCAGAATGATGATGACCTAGAACTATGGCTTTAATCATATGTAAATCCGCCTTTCATTTGAGCCATTTTGGGGTAATTACCCAGACATATTTATATTGTTTTCTTGGCAAGATTATAAAAATGGTTTATTAAAGCTTTCCCTCAGGAGATTATTTAGCTTCTTAATCCACCTAGTCTGGGATTTCTTGCTTGTCTCCCATTACTAACTGGGTGTAATATTCTTGGCTTTTTTACGAAATTACTTAAATTACACTAACTGCTGTCTCATTGTGACACAGTCCTTATGTACACTGTGTGAAACACTCTGAAATCTCAAAATGATATAAAAATGCAGTCTTCCCTCTCATCGCTGAACTAAGAACTGATCCTGATAACATGTTCCCAATAGATTCCCTATAACTGTGATTATTCAAAATTTATACAAAATATTTTAATTTATTAAAAGAGAGACTGCTGGAACTATCCAAACACCCTCTTTGTGTAGAATACATCCTGAAGCAGTTTGTGGTAGCACCACTTATTTTTGTGTTATTTGTCCTGTAGCTTAAGACTCTATGAGGGTATTACCTGTACTAGAATCTTGCAGAACAGGTGTAGCAGTAGAACCTAAGCCATGTATGAGGCTTCCAAGCTCCTCTAGAGCACATATTAACATATGCTGGTTTATTATTAGCTCTGTTGTACCAATATGGGTTTCGACATTACAGTTACTCACTGCAGCATCTGATAATAGAAAATGTTATGTTAATAAAAGAAAGGAATAAAAGCCAGGGATAGGTGGCTGACACATATTTTTGAGTAAAATGAGGCTACACTTCAGACTAGATATACAGTAAACCACAGATAAATTATTGGTAATAATTGTAATTTCCCTCTATCATCTGCAAAATTGTTTAAGATAATAAATAAGACTGCAACAACTTACCTTTTAAAAAGCTAAGCTTTATGATCATGGTACTAATAGCCGTTTAACAATAGCCACTACAGAATCATGTTTCTAGAATCAGGCTGTAATAATGAACAATTTCCATTAATTGATCTTTTTTGACCTTCTTATGCTGCCTGAGTAAGCTACATTAAAGAAAACCTAGACCCAGTCTGCTCAGATTCAGCAAACTTTCCTGGTTACATCATCTAGATCAGTGGTTCCCAAACTTATTCAGTCCACCGCCCCCTCGGTGCTACAAACTCATCCTCAGTGCCCCACACCCAGGGGCGGGATTCAAATTTCTATAGGCGTGGCTTAGAGGGCATGGCCTGTTGGTCACATGACTGGGTAGGCATGGCCTGTTGATCACGTGACTGGGTGGGCATGGCCTACTGGCCATGTGACCTCGGTGGGCGTGGCTTGCTGGTCACGTGACTGGGCAGGCATGGCCTACTGGCCATGTGACTGGGTGGGCGTGGCTTGCTGGTCATGTGACTGGGTGGGCATGGTTTGGTGACTGGCAAACCAAATACAAGTGGTCCTCACTTAATGGCAGGTTGCTTAGCAAGTGTTCTAATTTATGACTGGCCTCCCCAGAGCTACTTGACCTGTTTTTGGAGTTTTGACAGCCATGCACACACACACACACACACACTCCCTTCTAACCCAGCTGGTTGGACTAGATATCTCATTCACTTTCTCCTCTCTTTCTCTTTCTTTTCTTTTCAGTCCACCTCCCCCTTGGTGCTACAAACTCATCCTCAGTGCTCCCCACCCCCACCCCCAATAAACAACATTATTCGGAATAGCAGTTTGCACGACCCACCAAAGAAGATAGTAACAGTAAAATTCAAAATTGTAACAATTAATTGCACATTTATTCAAAATCCAATTTAAAAATCTTTTAAGTTAATGTTAATTCAACAAAATGGTTGAACATGATCCAGTGATACCAGGTTTTCAACGTCTGATAGTCATTTATCAATTTAAGAATTTACTGAACAGTGAAGCAGTTACTAATGCGATGGATGTACTTGGTGAATTGATACCAGTTTCCTAATGTCTGGTTTTAAGTCACTTAGCAGGAGTCTTAAATCACCACGTTCAGCAATCTGGAGTCGATTTCTTGCTTGGAGAGAAGTTGGATGACCACACTGAAACCACGTTCCACCAAATATGATGTTGGAAATGCAACAAGGAGCTTCTTTTAGTGCAGGATAGCGATCAGAAATTTCCTTCTGTAACCAAAACTCTTGGTACGATTTCTTAAACTTTGGCTTCAGCTCAATGTCATTTTTCAGTTCTATTAGTTGTTCCTCCACTATCCCATCTTCCTTAGTATCTAAAAATGGATTTATCACCCAATCTGGAATTTCCATCAAAAGAAGATCCTGATACCGCTCAGACATATCTTTATGCAGCATGTCCAAATGGTCACAAAAAACATGCAGATCATCATCTTGTACCCCACCTTTCTTTTCTAGCTCAGACAAGCTTGGAAATTGGTGTAGCTCGCAACGGCCTATATTGTGCTTGAATAGAGCTAACTTCGAAATAAATGTAGAGATGACAGATTTGGCCTTAATAAGATTGACTTCATTTCCTTGCAACTGCAAATTCACTTCATTGAACTTTGTAAACAGTTCTGATAAATAAGCAATGTCATGCCTGATCTCTTTGAGTTCATCACTGAGCGAAGCATTCTTGCCTTCAAAAAACTCCCCAACAGTGTCAAAAAGATTGTAAAAGCGTCTCAAACAGTTTCCTTTTGATAGCCAACGAACTTCTGTATGAAGCAGCAAACTATCAAAATCTTCATCATTCTCAACACAGAGCTCTCGGAATAGTCGATCATTGAGAGCATGTACTTTAATTTTGTTCACTGCAGTAATGACAGTATGTAATGACTTGTTCAAGCGATCACTGAGGTTTTTTGCAACCAGATGTTGGTGATGAATGACACAGTGATTGGTAAAGACATTTGGCACTGCCTTTTTCAAGTAAGCAACACACCCACGGTAGTGACCAGTCATTGATGGTGCTCCATCCGTTGCACAAGCAAGTATGTTGGTTAGTGGAATTTCCTTGTCTTTGAAGAACTGCTCAACAAAATGAAATATTGACTCCCCTTTAGTATCTGTATTTAGTTGCCTTGCAAATAACTCTTGAATCAAACTTTCGTCTTTAATAAAGTGCACATAAGCAAGAAGCAAAGATTCATTGCCTGGCAAAGTTGATCCATCCTGCTGTAATGCAAAGTCTGTTGTCCGTAGTATGCTGCACAAGACATCTTCCACATTCTCAGCCATTTCATCTATGTGTCTTTGAACTGAATTGCTGCTGAGAGGAATCGGCAAAGCATCTCTGATTAGATTCTAGTAGTGAATAGAATCTAATCAGAGATGCTTTGCTGATTTTTGTTCATTTGTTTTATGTCCGAGTGGAGTGGTGCACCAAATCAATGGGGTAAGCCTGAGAGAAGGAAAGAGAGAGAGAGAAAAGAAAGAAGGAAGAAAAGGGAAAAGGGAAAGAAAGGGGACAAAGAAAGAGTGGGGGAGGGAGGGGAGAGAGAGACAGAGAGAGAGAGAGACAAAGAGAGCTAATGCATAAGATTGAAATGAGGTCTAGTTTAGAGGCCCTTTCCCATATTGAAACATCTTTGCCAGCATCTTTGCCAGCCATTGAAACACCTTTGGCTTCTATTAATTAAAGTTTTTGTGGACAAAACATGGCCAAGACCATCAGGAAGCTCTCACTTTTTGTTGAGGCTTAAACAGGATTCATTGGACCAGACCTCCACCCTAAAAAATTACTTTTCCCCAATGTATTACAGTGCCAATTCTGAAGAAGGCAAAACCAAAATGTACTGGTAAATTACAAGAACACACACAAACACACAAACTCCCTTCTAACCCTGCTGGAGCAGGTGATTGGACTAGAATAGATATCTCATTCTCTTTCTCCTCCCTCCCCCCCTCCTTTATTTCTTTTTCTTTGTCCTTTCCTTCCATCTCCCCCTCTTTCTTTGTCTGTCCCATTTTCTTTCTGTCCCTTTTCTCTTTCTTTTCTTTCTCTCTCTCTCTTTCCCTCTCTCAGGTTCACCCCATTGACTGCTGCACACTCTGGTGCAAGGAGCTTAATGGGGTGAGCTTGTGGGGCCTCACCTTGAATGCAGCTGCGATAGGACGTTTGAAAAGGAGAGCAAAGCCACTCTGGCTTTGCTCCCCTTTTCAAACATCCTGCTGCACTTGCATTCGAGGCCCTGCAGGTTCATCCAATTGACTGCTGCACACTCCAATGCAAGGGGCTCAATGGGGTGACCTGCAGGGCCTCGTGTTGAACGCAGCAGTGGCGGGACATTTGAAAAGGAGAGCAAACCCATTCTGGCTTTCCTCTACTCCCGTCACCACTGCGTTTGAGGCAGGCACATCGGGAAAGTGGAGGAAAGCTGGAGTGGGCTTGCAGAGCGTAACTCACGTAGATCAGATGGTGGTAGGAAGGTAGGGCAGGCAGGCGGGCTGGTTGGCTAGTGCTGGTAGCAATGGCGGGCAGGAAAATGGGAAACGAGCACACATGTGCTACATAAGGATTGGGAGGGGTGGGGTGGGAGGGAAATGCTGTCAGCGATTGTTGCACATGCACACAATGTCATGCATGCGCAATAAGGACTGACAGCAGAAAATGGAGGAGGGGGCAGGGCCAGACAGGGCCCCTTTTTGCCAGTTCTTCAATCTACTGGAACATTAACAACAGTTCTTGTGAACTGGTAAAATCTCATCCCTGAATTGTGCCCTGCAAGTGGCCCGTCTCCAGCGCTCCCTTGCCACCTCTTAGCACCCCCTGCCGGCCACCTTGCCTCTTACCATTCCCCTAAGGCATCCCCCACCCCAGCGGGCAGTACCGCCCACTTTGGGAACAACTGTTCTAGATTTCAGCAAACCTTCCAAACTGGGCAAGATGAATGAGATCGTTTAATTCAGCATGACTTGATAAAGGGAACAGGAAAGCTTGTAATTAGCGGAATGTTGTGCTTGTGATTCCATAATCAGATACACATATTAGTGGTGTGTAATATAAAGTTGTGTTGTGAAGCCTACAGTCAGCTATTATATTTACTTTCCACACATTTATCTAAAACTGAATCATGGGAAAAATTCAGGACATTTTAAGTTTAAAAATGATTTTAAAAAGCCACAAAGAGACTTGGTTTGTGTGGGGGATTAAATTAGCGTATGACTAGATTAGGAAATGATTAAAGCATTACTGGAATCGTGACAGAGGGAGGGTTGGCAAATAATCTTGTTAGTCCCATACCCATAACTTTCTTCAGTTTCCAGATGGCTTGACAAATCTCCTTGGCAGTTGCAATTCGAGCTTTTTCCCCAAGAAGGCCTCCTACTGTAGCTCGGAGGATAAATGAAATACAACGGCGGCTACAAATACTGTCCATTTGTGTCTGAATAGCCTTAGGGTGAGATTGAGAGACCAGATCCAGAACGTGGGAAAGTAAAGCACAAAAATTCCTTTCAAGCCATTCTCCTCCTAATGTGGAAATGAATACCACGTATGCCTGGAAAACAATTGATTAAAAAAAATATTAAAATCAGTTTCAACTTGCATGTATTATGTCACATATTACAAAAACATTAAACCATTTTAATGCAGTTATTTAATGTATTTATTTACATTTATAGCTTCTTTAAGTAGAGTGAAAATATTTGGCAGCAGTTATTTGAAAAATAAACTTCATCAAATTAAGCCAAATGCTGAAAAATTCCTTCTCTCAATCAAAATACCAATAAATACCAAGTTAAGTTTAACTGCAAACTTAATATTCCAGTGAAAAATAAGAACAATGATATCTGTAGAATTTTATATATAAATTTATATTTAGGTAAGATTGAATTTCAAGAGCAATTCAATTAAAACTGCCATTCTTACCCGTACAAATTTGAATGCCACCTTAGAAATTATTGAAATATTCCCCTATTTTCTAAATTGATTTTACAACAATAGAAACCAGAACATAAAAGCAGTGAACAGCTGGAAAGTTTACATGTCAATCAATAAAAGCAATCTCAGTGTAGTGAGCTTATAGAATACTATCCTAGTTACTAAAAACAAGTGGTTTGATGGTGATCTTTCATATTTGTAAAACACTCAGCCCCTATGTGTGATCTGGGCAGCCATATACATTTGTTTACTAAATAAATAAAATAAATATATTTAAAGAAACAAAAATTGATTTCCATGCCTTTAAAGACAGAAATGGGGCTAATCTTAAAGGGACTGTGGATAAAAGGTATAGTGATACTTTCCCCCTTTAAAACAGAACATTTAAAGGGAAGATTATCACATAAATCCATCTTTCAGGAGCCAAAACATGATTTCAAACAAAATTAACATTTTACAGGGGAAACAAAGAATGATTTATGCCCAAATTAGGAGGTAGAGCAGCACTACTTAATCTGTCCAATAGCTTGCAACAGTTCGTGCATAATTTCCCCATATGAGACATACAGATAGTCCTCAACTTACAGCTCATTTAGTGACCAAAGTTACAATGGCCCTGAAAAAAGTGACTTTTTCACATGACCATTGCAGTGTACCCTGGATGAAGCAACAATTGTAAAAATTTTTTTGCTATAGGTATATACTTAATGAGAGCAACTGAGTATTTTATGAATATCATCTATTTTTAATTCTATGATTTGATTATGAAACTGAGGAATTCACAGCATTCTAAGAGGTAGAGCAGCATAGTTTTATATAAACATTTTATGTATGTTAGAAGCAACATATAATGTGACTAGGAAGGAAGAATGCTCAGAATGGAGAAGCCAGAAGCATTCTAAGCTGTTGACTATATAGGGAAATACTGGGGGATTTTTTTCCATAGAGATTTACAGGGGCAGTGGTCCCCAACCTTTTTTGTATCACGGACCGGTACAATCCACGGACCGATCCACAGACCGGTACCGGCATCAGCATGCACAACCAAGGCAAGGCGAGCCGAGCGACCGGCCAGCCAGCCGTCCCCAGCTTCTCCCCGCCACTTTCAACTCCTCCTTTGTACCTTCTCGCGGTCGATGGGCTTTTCGGGCTCTTTCTTAATCTCCTCCTGAGTAACGCGAGACTCCGCCATCGGGACAGCTCTTCGTTTGAAGCCGCCCCCCCTTCGACGAAACTAAGGCGTGAGGATTCCTTCAGCACCCAAACGCCGCTTACCAACCGACGACCGACAAGCTCACCCGGAAGCACTTTCTCAAGCGCCATCGAAACAAGATGGCGGCGCCCAAGCAAAATAGGTGGCCCGGTACAAAATGATCCACGGACCGGTACCGGTCCGGGGCCCGGTGATTGGGGACCACTGTACTAGGGGATTTTTTTCCATAGAGATTTACCGGGGGATTTTTTTTTCTTCTCCCACTACGCTGATTTGGGTCCAAATCTGTTGTATATGCTGACAACATAGTCTTCAGTCCATTCACATAATTTCTGTCTTGTGAGTGTTTTAAAGGTATTATTTTAAATGTATTTTTAACGTTTTATGTATTCATTTGCTTATTTGATTTATGCCTGCCATTTTTAAATTAAAAATGTGCAAGTTTTCATTAACAATTGAGATAAATGTTCATCAGTATTAAAACCATTCAGACTTCTTTAGAATGTTGGAAAACCCTAACTGCAGCATAAACATTTCCAACAGGAACTAGTATTTAGTACAATAACAAATTAGTCACACAAATTTTTAAAAAGTTAAAACACAACATATTTTAACATTTTAGCATAATGTAACTCAAACCTGAGTAACTCCAACTCTGACATCCCTGCTGACTGAGCTGGTTCCTTTCAGAATATCACCACCAGTTCGTAGAAATCCAGAACTTCCACGAAGAAAACCTGTCCCTAGCAGTTCCAAAGCTTCCATAAATGAGATTTTGCGAACGTGTTGTCTAGCAGATGCTTTTACAATAAAAAAAATACATATAATCATACTCCACATATACACACCACAGTCTTTCATTTACTTTCATCTTTTACTGTAGGGCTGAAAGGTTGTTGAACAAGGTCATTAACCAAAGATCACCCGTATTGTGCTTTTAGTTTGTGAAGCCAATCAGAGTTTGTTGGGCAATTGAACAGCCTATAAATATGGCAAGTAAATAATTAAAGAAACAATCATGGATAAAATATTCAAATTCGTGCCAAACTATGGCATTTATGGAAAAGTCTTTCCATAACCAGCAAGATCCTTTTCTTTTCTTTTTTAAAAAACAACTATCATATGAGACTAAATCACATTGGATTAAGTGAAAATAAAATATAAGCAACAGAAAGACTGCTACAGGGACATTCTGCTTTGCAGCTACTCTTCCACTTCATATTCATCTATAAAACATTCTGAACTCAGTCTACATACTGGTTAACTAAGCTAAATCAAGTCATGGTTACATGCAAGAGTTGAGAGGTCTGATCCACTTTCTAGAACAACATATTTGACAAACAACTTTAGAGATTAGGCTATCATGGAAACAAAATGAACAAAATGAAGAAAAATCGTATGGGTCAATAGTCCAAAACATTGATGGAGGGCATGAATGGCTCAAGTGTTTCTGTATTACTGAGTACTGTAAAGCTTTGTCAAAGGGCAAATGTTACTTTAAATTAAGAAATATCATTAATAAAATAACCGTATTATATCAGTGTACCCATGCATGCAACTTAATACAACCTGTTTACATCATGTTACCCAAATGAAGCTGTGTTAGCTTTATCCTCATTAAATTACATAATTGAAAATACTGTAATTCTTTAGGTAGACTACATTTTCTTTACAAGAGAGAAAAAGAAAGGCTAAATTTGCTATTATTGATAGTAATTAAATTGGTAATTCTTTCATGTTATGAAATATTTTCATTGTCATCAAAATGGAGATAGAACACATCAAATAATCCATATAATAGAGGTACATCTATGAGACTCTGGCAGCCACTTCTGTAGTGCAGATTGTTAACATTCAAACTGAGCTGAATGGAGGCAACTAAAGTACTGGATGGGTATTTGAACATCTACCTCTAGCAAATTTAAGTAATTTTTACTATTTATAATGTTTCCTCATATGCTATTTCTCCTTTCATTGGGGTACTATTAAGCTTAATTGCCATTTAGTTAATTTGTTTCCCCCTTTAATTTCCCCCCCACTTTACCACTGCAGAAAGTAGAAATATTTTCTGTCACTATTTTTATTCTGATGTAGCACACACTGATGACCATATATTTTCTTAAATATGGTAATGGTCTGATATAATTTAGGCAAAATATTCATATGCATGTGTGTATATATGTGCCTTTGTATATGGTGTGTGTGTGTGTGTGTGTGTGTATGCTAGATATGTTATTAGTTATTATGTTAACATATTAGTATATTAGCTATTGTCATATGGTAAAATCCTTCAGTGACTGATTCTGAAGGGTCTTTATTACCGGTAGTGCTTACAATTTCCTGAACCAAAGTAAGGATGAAAAAATAAACTCACCTGTGGCTTGTTTTGATGTTACAGCACTAATCAATACATAGCCTAAAAGCTTAGAAACGGCCATTCGCACTTCATAGTTGGATCCTTCAAAGGATTTAAAACATAGAGTTACTACACTATCTATGTCTGTACTCCACATAAAAGTTGCTTCAATCTGAAGTTCAAGAAGACACTATATTAAAAAAAAGGTGGGGGGGAGGAGACAGAGAAGCAAAATAAAGTAACCAAATAATGTGTGCACAAATATTATGTAGCTTAAAAATACCTAAAACAAAATGGGTTGCATCCAACAATGTCTGTCAGGCAGGAAAATAAAACCTATCATATAAATTTAGGGTTTCCTAAATCTGACCCATAAACACATAAGATCAACAAAGAGAAAGGGAACACCTTGTTGTAGAATGTAGACATTATTATTAGAACTTTGAATAGTATCCATTTATCTGGAGAGAAAACTATTTAGTGGGGCTTTTATTTATTTTTATGTACGCACACTCACATATATACATACACACACACTCATAGACATCTCTTGGGCCTCACTCTTTCTCAGCCCAACTCACTTCACAGGGTTGTTGTGGGAAAACAGAAAGAGAAAGAAGCATTATGCACACATGCTGCCTTGAGTTATTTATAAAAAATAATAGACATGATAAAAAAAACTAAAACAATCTCAAACCTAGATTAATATCAAAAATATCCATGTATTAATTATGGATATAAGAAAATAAAAGGAAATAAAAGCATATAAACCTAAGATCATTAAACTTTACAAATTTTCAGCTGTTGACAAAGGAAATAAAATATTTCAATTATTCTTCCATTGGAGGGGATGGACTTTAAAGTACTATACACTGGTACCTTATGCAAACTTCTTTTTTGTCATTCCAGAAAGGATCATAAATTGCTGGTTGTACTGAATAATTATTCCAAAATGAGCATGAGATCCATTTAGGAAGAAAAAAAACACACTAGGGAGCTAAAATGCCAAAGTTAATTGCCAAAGTAGAGGAATATTTATTTTAAATGACACAAATTCAATATCCTAAGAAAAATGTATATGGGTAAAGAAAGTTACTTGATGTGACTTATAAACCCATTTTGGGGGGGGGGGAAGGGAGTGCCTCCAAGTTACTGTGGACTTCTGGTGACTGCCTGAATTAGTCCCTGCAGTTTTCTTGGCAAGATTTCAGAAGTAGTTTGCCACTCCTTCTTTTCCAGAGCTTAGAGCAGAGGTCTCCAACCTTGGCAACTTTAAGACTTGTGGACTTCAGCTCCCAGAATTCTCCAGCCAGCTATGTTATGCTGGCTGGAAATTCTGGGAGTTGAAGTCCACAAGTCTTAGAGTTGGCAAGGTTGGGGACTCCTGGCTTAGAGAGACTGACTGGACCAAGTCACCCAGTTGGCTTTGTGTTTAAAGTGGAACTAGAACTCATAGTGTTCTCATTTCTAGCCTGGCCCCTTAATCATTACACCAAACTGTCTCTCTGTAATAAATATATACACTGCTGTTGTCAATGAATCTTGTATACAATTTTAATAGATGTAAATTAATATCTTGAATTTATTTGTGATGGAAAAATCCTAACAAAAATGTTATTTTCCATACTTATATACGCCAAAATCTTCTTGGTAATACAAAACAGTGGTTACAATGGATGGTGTTTTATTCTTCATGCAACATATGAAATGGTATACAAGGAGATTAATTATAGAAAGGAATAATATTTTACCTTTGCAGAAGCACAACGAACTGCCATTGATCTATCTGTCAAACATGTACGAGCAGCTTTGTAGATATCTCTGTGACAAGGAACAGCAGCAGCTCCCAACCCTTTCAGTATGTTTTGCAAACTTAGCATGATCTCATATCGTCCTTGAGACTGACAAGGCAAAAAAAATCATCTTATTATCGGATAAAGGTACCGGGATTTTTTTTTGCATTTTTATTTTGCTACTCTTCAACAAACAAAACTTTAGTAACATCATAATCACATTAGGTGAATTAGCTCAAAAATTTTGCCAAAGGTCCCACTGTTAAATTCATGGCAGAGAAGTCATGACACAGTACTGGAAGCTGACTGTCTCTAACAAGTTTCAGCACTTTAGTACTGAGCTATTGAAAACTGAATTCATTTTACAAAGAGTACAAAGAAATACTTGTAGACCACTCCTGCATTAATAAAGGTGCAAGTGTGACTATTTAACATAACAGTACTCATCATTTTTAGGCAAGCCAATTATTTCACTTTCATCATATCATTCAGTCAAAAAGTCTATGCCATCATCTTTAACATGATTATTATAAATAAAGCAAGTCAACACTAAAGATTTCCAATAGGCACATCACAATAAAAATATAAAATATCAGTAAGAATAAAAACAGGAAGCAGAGGGAATGGAAGAAAAACATTAAATCATGGCATCAAATGTTAATTTTAATGTTAGTTTTGATAAAGATTAAAAAGAGAAGAAAAGTCTTAACAAAGGCTCATTCTACTTTGCAATTAGCCTATTTATGATTCAAAGAAGTTCTGCAGAAATGTAATTTGTTTCTGACATATTATCCTCAAATGTCAAAATCTCATATGCATTAGACCTTCATTAAAAGTGTTTTCTTCACTACTTTAAATCAATATTTTATTTCACTTTTGAACACCTGCTCATTTACCTCTGCATTCTTCATTGCTTTAAGAATATTTCCCACAGTAGTCACAAAGCTGTTGCCCAAAATTCTTCCCAGCTTTTTGTATAAATAGCCCAAACAAACCACTGCAGCACTTTCAAAACAGAAAAGGAAAAAAATGTAGTCAGGCAACCTTTAAAAAACATTATTATTATTATTCTATACTGCATTTTATTATAAACCAATGAGATTCTTAATAATCAACAGCTATTAATAAAAGGCTTTTAAATATTAAATTATTTAGGAAAATTTCCTTAACTTAAAGTTAGGTTGCCATCTCCAGCAGTATGTTGACTGGTAATTCTGCACAACAAAATTGAAAGACAACCAGTTGTACAAGGTAGGTTTAAGATATACATTTCAGAATCACTTTAAAAAAATACTAAACTGATTCACAACCTGGCACAAAGAAACATTTTGGATTTGCCTTTGCAATTGAATGTATTACTTACAAGTAGTCCTCAACTTACAACCATAATTGAGCCTGGTAATTATGGTTGTCAGCTGTGATGGTCATAAAGCATAAATGTGACCCACCCATTTTAACAATTTTTTTATACCGTATATACTCGAGTATAAGTCGACCGGAATATAAGCCGAGGCACCTAATTTTGCCACAAAAAACTGGGAAAACTTATTGACTCGAGTATAAGCCGAGCTTTTCAGCACATTTTTTGTGCTGAAAAAAAAACCCCTTGGCTTATACTCGAGTGAGATTCCCTCTGAAAGAAAAATGGTGTGGAGCTCCGGAGCTGGGCAGCCTCTTCCCTACTTCCGTGTTTCCTTTGCAACTTGTAAGCATGGGGGTAATTGGAAGCAGAAAAGTTCTTGCATGAGGATATATTGTTTTTTCTTTATTTAACTGTTTTTAGGGGGGGGGGAAAGACCCACTGTCATGTGAGAATGCTCAGACACGAAATCTATCCCCCTGAAAATAAGTGTGTGTGTGTGGGGGGGATTTTAACAGAGGGAAGACATAGGGAGAAGGCAAAAGCGACGGAAGATCCTTCAGGGGAAACTGAGGGGGAGACTCACCCTTGGTCCAGATGAGCCCCCTTCCCTGCCCCTAAGGAAGCAGAGGCAGCCAGCAAGGGCAGGCAAGCCCCGCTTCGCGGACTCCGTCCGTCCTCGCTCCCACCCACCCACCCAAAGCCACGAAGTCCCCCAATCGCGCAGCCCAGAATCGCCCTCCCCTCAGGGGGCAGCAATGACGCCCGGTGTTTCCTGAAACAAGAAGCTCCTCATGCAAGAACTTTTCTGCTTCCGATTACCCCCATACTTACAAGATGCAAAGGAAACATGGAAGCAGGGAAGCGGCTGCCCAGCTCCGGAGCTCCACACCATTTTTTTTCCAGAGGGAATCTCACTCAAGTATAAGCCGAGGGGTTTTTTTTTTCAGCACAAAAAATGTGCTGAAAAACTCGGCTTATACTCGAGTATATACGGTAGTTGCTAAGCCATAGCTGCTAAGCGAATCCATTCTTTGTTATGGGTGGTTTTTGCCAAAAAACCAGAAGTAAATGTTAGTTTTTGACAAAAATATTGTAAATTGTGGTCAAATGACTGCAGGATGCTGTACTGTGAGCCAAGTATTCCTCCAAGAGGACTATACAGTTTGCATAGAAGTGTAATTTGTTAGACAGCATTCCACCAAATTCCAACAGCTCAGTTACGGACTGAAAAGTCAGCCTTTGCTAGTAGAAGCATATCCGTAAAGTCCTTGACAGCCCCCAAAATTAAAAAAAGCACAAGTACAAATCCCAATGACAAAAAAGTTGCCTATGCCAGAGTGTACATATAGAAAGGCATAGTATACTTTAAGGAGGCAAGAGTTTGTGATAACTTTGCCATTGGCGGGTTTTTTTGTTTTAATCTAGCCTTTTTCCAAATTTTCTTACTCAAAGTATAACTGGCACTACCCTCTACCTGATGAACTGTAATAAGTGTTTGATAGAGATTCCTGCTTTTCTGTCATTTTCTGAGTGATTAAAAATCAACATGCTATTCTGCACTTCTAAGGAATTCCTACAGAGTATCTTTCCTTTTATATGGAGGAGGAATAATAGCATTCTCCTAACTGTCAGACAGAAATACAGTAGTTCCATTCTTTGATATTCAACATTCCCATGCAAATGTCTCTAATATGGTTTCTAGCATGCATAAATAAATAAATGAATGAATGAATAAATATTGCATTTCAGTTACATTCCAAAGTATTTCATCTTTTTATTTACAGTTCTATTGACACTGTTAGTGGCTCCTTGCTTAGTTCTTTTTACCCATCTTCAGGCAGTATTTATTTTCATCAAAGTCACTTATTTGTAATGAAACTCACATCCATGTACTCATCAACTCATCTCTCCAAGATCAGACATTACATTTCTGTTTGTCTGCTTTTTCTTTCATTCATTAATTTATGCTCACTACCATTTACACCATTTACATTCAAAGTCATATGCCATGGTCATAACCAGATGACTCTATAACTTCCCTATAATGCCTTTGGCCAATTTAACCTTCACATGACAGTTTTTTAGTAATATAGAGGAACCAATCAGGCTACCACTCTTAATAATACGCACATAATTCAATGACGCTTTGCCATATTTTGAACAGTATGCCACAAGCTCAAGCAAAACTCAAATTTTCCCAAGTATGTTCATATCTTATTGAAGCTACAATTTTTAATCTAGACATATCTTGCATTGCTATTATTGTCCACATGTCCACAACTGAGAGCTGCATACTGTGAACAGATGCACTTAAGATGAAGATGAAACAGAAGCAATCAATATGTCTTAATCTATTATCCTCTCTCTCAGCCTATCTGAATCGTTTCTTCAACTTGAAGCAAGTCCAAGTTCTAAGTAGGAGCCACCCAATGTAACTAGACTTTAAAATAACTGATATAAGGGAGCAATTATTTTCTTTACTATAGATTTATACAAGATAAATTCAATGTGCATATGTTAAAAGAAAGCATTTGCAAAAATGTTTACTGTATATTAAGATAAGTTTCATATAATGAAAAGTATGAACTGTTATGTACAACAAATTTTATGCCCTTTTTAAAGAATGAAATTGTGTTTCAAACATATAAACTTTATTAAAATTAAAGCATTTCTTCCATCTGTATCAAGAAAAGGAACACCCATAATTGAAGAATCAATGATGTTATATCCTGGAACTTGAGCTTACTTGAGGTTAAATGTTTTTCAACTGTTAAAGCCTATTTTTAGGTCATGTATACTTCCTATTCCTTTGAAAAATCTTATGCAATCCTCATAAATTCTAGCTATAACTTAATCTCAAGAATACTGTAGGCCAATGTAAAGGCTATATTTTTATGCTAGGGGCTTCTTTCTGCTAGCAGCTCACTTGAGAAAGGATGAAGCATTATTGGTGCCAGATTAGAGATTGGAGCTGTTTATTTGATTGTAATTCTTGAGTGCCTGTGTTTAAATACCCGTCTGGTTATCCACTACAATATATAAATGTCAATCCAAGATTTCTAGGCATTCCTCCAATTGCTGTGTTTTCATCACAGTCTCTTTTTCTACACTAAATTGTTTTGATTATTCTGTTCCCATCATCCAACTATAGACTCATTCCTGGACAAGAATACAACTAAAAAGAACAGGAGCTAAAAAGAAATTGCCTTTGTGTTGTGCAAATGGGCAGTGCATGGGAAAAGATAGGAAACTATGGCTCTGTTACCAGGCCAACGAAAAATTGGATGCAGTCCTATTCTAATCTTCAAAACTCACACTCATATGGTATGCAATTTTGTTATTTTTATTTAAGATTCTATAGGCTCCATGATGAAAAAATAATATTTTATTATGACCGTGGTGGACTTTTAAACTTACAGTTTAGTAGGTAGATAGCTTGGTGAATCATCTTTACTGAGAATAAGTTCGTTGCATTTGTCAATTGTTTGGTGAACAGAAAAAACATCTCCTGTGCTATATAATACAGCAAGGTTCTTGGCAATGAGTTGTCTAGCAGGAGGTCCTGGTGTACTGGTTAATAAAGATATCAGTTGTTCAACAAGTTTGTTCTGTTTTTCCCTTATATCAGCCTGGAAATATAGAATACATTGTTAACATTCAAACTCTAAACCATCTGAAAAGCTTCAGACCACTTTCAGTTAGGTTCAGACTCATTCAAGTGAAGTCCGGCTCAAATTCAATTTCCATTTCTAGTCACTAGTTAGCTCCCTAAATGATACCCCTTCCTAGGAAGAAAAGGAAGACCACAGGAAACAAATTTATGTTCGGTTCTAGTTGTATAATTTTTACCTGATTAGTTGCTGGTAAAAGTTTTTCTAAAAACCTCAGCCATTCCAAAGCAAATTCTGCTTTCTGAAATTCACCCAGCTGATTATAAACTTCTTCATTAAATAGCAAGCTGCAAGCCAACTCCATTCTTTAAAGCATCTCCTTTTCTGTATGTGAAAGCCACTCATGAAGGCACACAGGAATGTTGCTGTGTGATGTCAGCATTTACTGGCTGAATGAAAAAGGGCACCTGGATAAATATATAATAAATATATTTAAGAATGGAAGTGACATATTTTAATTTCAACATTTAATCTCAGGTGCCTCACTGGCATTTTAGAAGTGTTAATAATTCTTGAAACTTAATTATTAAAATATCTTAAAATCTGGCAACAAGAAAGATCACTTGTAGACTGTTGTATGTTTAGATTTTATCCTTCATTTCTGTCAAAAATTCATGGTGAAGTACTTCCTTGTTTGATTTTTTTCCCCATAACCTCTCTATGAGATTTGGGACAAAAGACAATAATTTACCCAAAGCCAGCCAACAGACTTCAGACAAAGTCTGAAGATGTACTTGGGTTTCCAACATCTTAACCATCACACATTAGAAAATTGTGATGCTACCAGGCTCATTATTTACACAGCACAGTGTGATATGGGATATAGATCATGTGTTTCACCTATGATAAATTATTCTCACACTGATAATAGTATTTTGATCCTTTCAACAGAAGAGACAACCACCCACCCACCCCCATTCTCTGAATCAAGACATATGAGAAGGCAGAACAGGTTTTGCCATATTAGAATGTATAAATCTAGGTTTCTTAGTTGTTACTCATTGGAATTATTCTGCTGCAACCACAATGCCCCTTTTAATAAATATTACTAACAAATATTACATGACCTTGAAAGTTTTGTTCTATAGAACAACCATTTCCGGTTCAGATTGCTAGGAGGGAAATCAGATCCCACCTCACCCTAGAAGTTTTCGTTCAGGAATTCTCAAATTGTAAGTCAAGATAATTGAGCCACAACCACAACTGAGCCCAAAATTTCCATTGCTAAGCAAAGCAGTTGTGCTGTGTCTTGCTCTATTTCATGACCTTTTTGCCAATCACTGCAGTTGATAAGAGAATAATGCAGTTATGAATCATTGCAGAACAATGCAATTGTCATAAGTACATGCCCAAATTTTGCTTAATGCCCAAATTTTGGTCATGTAACCATGGAGATGCTACAATGGTTGTTAAGTGTGAAAACCGGTCACCAATATAATATTTTAAAGTCTGAGAACCCTTGGAACATATAGATTAAAATACAGTGAATAAAAGTGGAATATTTCTTTCTTTCCCAACCATAAACTCAAAGAATCATTCATATGGGAGTCACATGGACTCATTTATAATTTTAGGGAACTGCATTATCTCAGCTTTTGGGAACTCTTCTTCTAAAGAACCAAACATTAAACATTCTTTGCATTTAAGATTGGTTTATTATGACAAGAAAATAAAATTCAGAAACGAATAGGATGATAGAACTAAATGTGGAAAGGGAATTCAATTGGCTCAGATTGTATAATATTCATCAAATTTAAGAGCTAGCTTGAGAATAAAAGTACATCTCATTGTAACTCCATGTTTTAGTATGAGTCAATCTTTTATATTGTCATTAATTTATATGAAGCATTGCCACAGATTTTTTTTCTCAACATTTATATAGGACATGACAATATGTAATACATGCTTCTACAAATATTTTTGTCAATTTTGTACAAATATATCTGAAGTTTTCTTCTGAAAGTTGATTTTCCTCATGAATTTTGAGGGTAAATTCTTTGTTCTGTCATAGTCTAATTTAATTGTACAGAAAAGAGAATTTCTATCATTAAAAGAGGCAGGCAGACATGAATGCAGTTAAGCTGTCCACTGAGATCTGATTATCTGATGTAATTTAAGAGAACAGACTTATTACTTATTTATACTGTTATGATAGCTGGTTTCTACCCAGAGGAACAAAGTCCTCTTACTGTACAAACTAAATCCATTTGCTAGGTAATAAGTCCTACTGAAATTAATAACCTCATTTCTAAGTGGCATTAGGGTGGCAAGTGTACTGCAGAAAACGCCACACATCTTATTTTTTTAAAAAAATGCCTATCACATGTGTGGCAAAACAAATAGGAATTGCCTGATAGTTGTCATGTACTATAGCTACATTTTCTGTAGGTATTCTCCACTATTAGGATTTGTATGATAAAAGAGATATAGTCTAAGCAGACCCAATAGCATAAAAACTTCTCTACATTCTATGAACGTAGTACAGTTGTTTAGTTTGCATCATGTAGCAGTAGAGCCAAATAAAATGATTAATTTTAGTAGATTGCAGAATCCATTTTATTTATAAAAAGCCAGCATTTTTCTATGGCAAGGAAACATGAAGATTTAGAAAACAAGTTACAGCTATTACAATTTTTATAAAAGCATGCGCTAAATATACAAATAGTCAAACCCTTTCAAAAATGATTTAGAAATATTCACATGTTTTCTAACCATTTTACTTGCAGAGAACTGTTACTGGACTTTAATTTGGTCTTTTTAAAGAGTATTAATATGCAAACAGTAAACTATCTGCAGTCTCTCCACTGCTTCTAATCTGGCAACCCGTATCTTGAAAATTATCCGCCATAAAGGTGCAATATTGTTTGGAACAAAAAGCATTAATGAAGTCACTATAATTTACTCAAATATAATTCTGTGGTGTGATAAAGCAGATTTTTGGGATTATATTTCACAGCAAATGGCGATTTATGCAACTAAGCACATCTCTGATTCCAAACAACAATCTATACTTCACTTTATGATTTATATTTACAAATATGCCCCCCAGGAACTTTTTTTTGCAATGGCCAGCAGAGTGGAGTAAGTTTTTAGATTCTTTAGGTAGGACATGAATTGGTGGGTGCAAATTCTACGTATATTAGAATTGTTACCAAACAAATGACATGTGAATGGAATGTTTAAGAGGTGGTAGGAAGTGATTCGTTGGAGTGTGCAACAATTTGGGGATTAACTTTTCTAACTTAAAACCCACGCAATATACGGCTCTACTATTTGACCCGATTCTTGATTTATATATAATAAATGATCTTACTCCAAAACTGTATAGATATGATTCATCCTTGAGTTTGCAAATCTCTATGCACTTCCTTGAGAACAAGTGCTACTGAACCAAATGAAGAACATATCTGAGCAAACATCTATTGGATGAAACAGAAGCAGCAGAGGCCCTGGCATTTGTGTGGTGCAATTTCTCCTTCTGCTCATAAAAGAAATATTCTATTCATGATTAACTACAATAATATCTATCTATCTATCTATGACATAATGAACTTTCCCCCACAGGACAACTGTAATAAGGAAATAGGATGAATATTAAAGCTTTGTATTATGAAAAGATTACACATCTATGACTACTGCGAACTATACAAATTCAAATCTATTTTAATGCAATTCTATCTTGACATTTCTCTTTCCTTACCTGAAATTATTAAGATAAGTACTTTTTTTGTAAAAATATGAGGTCACTTTTGCTCAACTGTATAATAAGAATATTCAGTTCTCATGGATAACTCAAATCCATCAAGCATAAATCATAATTCTATTTAATTACATGGTAGTCCTAAGAAAGAAAAAAAAACCATGTACCTAGTTTTGGGCATCATTAAGAACACTAAATCTTGGCAAAGAGAGTATCAATAAAATCAGTCAATAGAACCTCTACCCAAGTTCTCATCTTAGTTCATTACCATTAAATTTTAATGATGTAAACAAGAGCATACATAAAAATATTTCTGGAATAATATGCTACTAACAAGGATCTCTGTCCTCTCCTCCATCCTTGTGTGGTTAAAAAGTATCTGCAACATGGGAGACTCTGAAAACTTGCATAACTAATATTTCAGAGCTGTTCTCCTTAAGCAAAGAAAATCCCCTAATAAAAGACTGATCATGATAGGAGGCATAGAATATTGTAAGTATCTGGAAGAAAAGGGAAAGCAGAATAAAATATCCTGATGAAAAATGTGATTGACAGACCACAAATTTCAAGGTATGGTTTCTATGTCCAATTAATTAAATGTTATAGTAATTTGAAAGGGCAATTAGAGGAACTATAAATAAAGATTATTGATAATCTTGTAACCATACAGCACCTTATTACTACTTATGCCATTAGAAGGGAAAGAATGGAGGATGGGCTTTTGTTACATGCCATCTGAATACTTAGAGAAGAGACAAGACATAAATCTAATGAAAAAGTAAATGTAAGAAACAAAAATAGTCTTGTATCAAGTTTCCTTGCTGTTTTAAAGAAATGAATTGAGCATTAATATATAGCATTTAACATTTGAGTTAAATCCAGTAAAACTAAGCATTTTTCTAGATTAATTAGGAGATAGACAACAATACTTATATGTATAATTGATATTTTTTTAAAAATACTTACAGAAGCTTCACAATTCCTTTTATGTAGTCACTATGTTTACAGCTAAACTATGCCATTAGCTAAGTTTCTTTGATATGGGGTCAAAATAGCTGCTCTGTCTCAAAATAAATTTGCTTATTTGGCAAAAAAAAAGTTTTAGCTGCTAAATAATGGTATTCTATGCCATAAATAATTTCCTACTGCAATTTGAGTTACTCATTCACCCTTTTTTGGTTTCAATATTATGACGCATGGAATAAGCTTGTGCTGCGAAGTCTTTTCCTTTTATTAATGTCAGACATAAACTGGTCTATTCATGAATTTCACTCAATACTTTCCCTTTCTTTTTCTCCAGCCTCCTGCCTTTATGACCCGTGTGATGCTAGCTTTTATTGTTCTGGCTAGTGTGACTTTCTGTTGATCTCTGTTAAGATCTTCTCTAATCTTCCTCTTAGGATTTAGAGGTATTTTTTTAAAAAAATGTGCCTAAAAATGAAATCAATTTGGAATGTTTTACATGTAAACTCTATGCCCTTGGCACAGCATATATCAAATTGGACCTTCAGAAAGAATAGTCAATCTTATATTCTCATGGAGAAAATCTAACTATGGGTTGCTTAGAATCAACACTAACTTGTGTTACTATATTGTTTAAAGATAACAGCTGTATGTGAAACAGTTTATTACAAAATTAAATGTTTTGTTAAATACTGTATATTAATTCCAGTATGGAAAATCAAATGAACTTAAACGTTTCAGTTGATCTATTTAGCTTTTATATGAAGCAACAGGATGGGGGATAGGGGAATATTTCTTGTTCTGAAGGGTGTTTGGTGCTCTCTGATCTTGGATGTTTTCTTGCAGATATTTCATTACCCAATTAAAGAACATCATCAGTTTTAGGCACTGATGTTGTCATCTAGTTGGGTAATGAAATGTCTGCAGGAGAACAACCAAAATCAGAGAGCACCAAAGACTGTACAGTATAACCATACCCTTATATTGATATTTTTTGTATTATTAAAAATTTGAACATATTTCACACTTATCAAAATTATATCCTTGTACAATAAACAATCAGAACAGTGTCCACAGCAAAGTGTGGATTCCAAAATGATGCCATGTACACTATATCATCACACAACTGCTATAACTTATTTCCATCCTTACATCGGATGCAAGTATGCAAGTCATAGCATTTGTGCTATCACATTATAACTTGTGTGTCGTCATTTTCTCTCTCACATCCCTACAGGTACCCAGAACCACAAGCATCCCATTCCATATTCAGAATGGATTGCTTTGAACATCAAAGAAATTAAAAAGGAGAGAGAACACAACACACCAACAATCAAAAACGATGCTGATAGTTTAAGAACAATATTTTAATTCTGCAAATAAGAACTACAGATCGCAGACCCAGAGCTTTTTTCTTTAAAAAAAAAGTTATTCCCATTTAACTGCGTTTGGTATGCTTTGATCCACACCCTTTTAAAAAGTTTTTTTCCTCTTTTTTAGTTTTTTTTTTTAACACGTCTTCCTCGACTACGTATCACTCACACATAGTTCCGATGAGCGCCTACCTTTGGTTACAATCATTCCCCGGAGAGCTGCCCGCCGCCCGCCGCCTCTCCCCTGCATCAGTTAAACTCAGTTAACAATGTGGCTTCTCTCTCCTGACGTGTCCCCAGGCTCGGCACGCTTTTTGCCAGCCGCCAACGCTCCCTAAGGAAAGGGATTCTTCTCACCCATCTGTAGCCGCCGCCTCCTGAGTGGGCGAGTCCGGCCAGCCTCTCCCGTCCGGCCCCTGGAAAAGGAGAGCAACTCGGAGCTCCGGCAACTCCGAGGAAACCTGACCAGGCTGCAGGAAGCCGCTTGCTCGGGGAAAGCAGGCGACACAGGGCGGGGTTCTGCTCGGGCTGCCACCGCGCCGGGATCGGAATTCGTCCCTCCGCCTCTGCCTCTCCAGGGGAAACCCGCACCCTCCCTTCGGCCAGGAGGAGGAGTTGCTGGCGGGGCCACCTTCGTCCTCTCCCCCTTCCCTGCTTGGATGGCCGTTTAGGGCCGCCTAATCGGCCCCGGAGCCATCGAGCGGCGGCGGCTGAGCTCGGCTCCGGTCCCTCCGCCAAAGCGGCCAAGCAACGCTGTGAAGCTGCTTGCTCAGACCCAAAGGGAAGCTGTGTTGTTCTCTCCCGGCGCGATCCTCTTCTCTGCAGCCACTCACACGACCACGCTCCGTGGGCCTAAAGGCGTGGGTACTTTGCACATCTTTTAAAATTTCAATTATCCTGAACCGGAAGTTGAGGGAATGGCTTGATTTTTTTTTTTTTTTACAGTTGAGTAGTGAAGCTGTTTACTTTAGTTTTCAAGCCTTTTAAGTCCTGTGGGTCTCGTTTTCCCAGCTGGGCTGAGAAAGTGCTTGTGCTTCAATGCGCTGTTGGAAACGGGCCCACTTTTTAGCTGAAAGGCAAGTCATTCCACCCTGCTTGAATTTCTCTCCGGCTTCAAACCCGTAGTTCATAAGACTCGGCAAGCTAAATGTCACAACTATTATGTGAATTCTGTGACAAGTTCATAAGACCATAAATTCATAAATTCTAGCTAAACATGACTCAGCGTACTGTGCAAAGAGCCAAGGCATTTGAGGAGGGAATTATTACCCAGCAAAAAATGTCTCCATCCTTTAACACAATATGACACAGCCTCTGTTCATAAAATGTGTTTATTTCATTTGCAAGCCCTGGATGTGCAGATTGTCTCAAAAAACCTCAAAGATAATGTGTGTCCCCAGACACATGGGTTATAGCTAGCATCTTGAATTATATTTGGAAACAAATCAGTAACCATTTTAACTCTTAACAATGGTGTGCCATTGCTATAATAGATGTGACAATTTCTGTGTGAGCCAAAGATTTAAGACAACCTATATAGATAGAATTGGAGTAGTCCAGATGACAGGTGACAAGTGTGTTACACTTAATACTTCTAATTCCAGAATCAATGCTTCTAATTTCAGAAAAGGCAGCAACTGTCCAGAGTTGATCAAAGGGTTTGTCACAGCTGCCACCACTTTTCCAGTAAGATCTGTGAGTCCAGAATGATCCAAAGAGCAAGCAAACAGCACAATTTTTAAAAATCCGAACTTCATTCACATAAATCCTCGTCTCCTTTGTAGCATGAGTCAATTTTAGAATTGGAAGGGAGGCGATGTGAGAATCATATTTTATTTCAATTCATTCATTTGAAAGCCAACAACTACAGAAGTTATACCAGTGTATGGAAGACATTAACAAAGGATATAGAATGGAATTTAGGTCCATATTAGGAAAATAAGAGGTTAATAAAAGATTTAAAAAAAAGAGGTTACAATTCAGCATCTATAAATGCCATAATCCTGCCCAAAGTCCTTCAAAAAATCTCCAGAATTAAAAAATGTTTAAGAATTATAATTGCAAAAATAAAGACACAAAAATATAGAATAAAAAGAAAAGATGCAGAAAATCGAAAAAATAAGAATGTAGTAATGATAAAGAAATAAAGTGGTAACTTTATCACAAATATAAACAATTTTAGTAATTTATCACCTTAGAAGACAAATTATCTTTATGAGAAGAGAAAATTAAATATGGGATCATTTAAGTGTCTTTAATTTTAATATTTAATAAATCCCTAATGCCTTGTCATTTCAATCCTGATCAGCAGAAGTCCATTAAGGATTATCAGAAATAAAGTATCTATTTTAACATTAATAAACATTGGATAAACTGAATAAACATTAATAAACATTGAATAAGCTTTATATTCCTTTTACTTTTAACAATCTTGATCTTCAAATAATGTTTTAGAATGTGATTTCTCTTCATTTTTTCTTTGTGCTAACAAAATTCTTTAAAGCTTTAATAAGCCTCTTTTGTAAATCCAATACAGGAAAATTATCCCAGTCACTCTCTTAGTTTGTTATTTGTATGTTATTTTTAATTAATAAGACATCAGCGGGTTTCCTTTGTAGTCTAGTATAGCATCTTCTCTCATATCATTCTTCTTCTTCTTCTTCTTCTTTTTCTTCAGCGTTTGTCTCGCGCTCGGGCGAGGTCCGCTAATGTCCTTGAGTACTGCTTCCACACCTTTCTGTCTGCCACGTGTGTCGGGTCTGCCTTCGCGATCTCTAGATCGGCCTTGATCGTGTCCATCCAGCGTTGTTTAGGTCTACCACGCGGTCTCGCTCCTCCGACAGTCACCTTCATTACAGATTTGATGATGGATTCTTCCTTGGCGCGGCTCACGTGGCCGAACCATCGTAGCCGGGACTGCCTCATGACCGTGGGGATGGGCACGACGTTGAACCGTCTACGCACTTCTTCGTTCCTGACGCGATCGAGTAGGGTGAGGCCTACCGACCATCGGAGCATTCGCATCTCCATTATCTGGAGTCTGCTTTCGACTTCTTTGGTCGTCGGCCAGCACTCTGCGCCGTATATGGCCACGGGGCGCACCACAGAGTTATAGATTTTCGCCTTCAGGCGCATCGGCATCTTCTTGTCACAGAGGACGCCCGTGACGGACTTCCATTTGCCCCACGCTGCATTGATCCTGGCTGCCACCTCAGTTTGTAGTAGGCCTTCTTCCCCAAGAGTAGTTCCCAGGTACTTGAAGGTGGAGGCGCGCGGTAGCTCCTGCCCGTTCACGTGGATGGAGCCTGTCATTTCATTGTCAGTGGTCAGGTAAAACTTGCTCTCATATCATTCTTGTAGGTTATAATTACTAAATATATTTTAAAATAGGTCTCAATGTTGTCAGGTAAAACTTGTTCCTCTTCCAAACCATTTAAATAACTATCTAAAAACAGACACTCTTAAAATTAGCTCCTAGATCCCTACTTCAAAAATATCTTTTAATATATCCAACGTTAAAATATTTTTCTTCATTCTGTATTAATAATACAAATTTAAGTGTGCTTCTCCTTTAATTTTAATATTAAGTGCCCCCTAGTTCCCTGTAGTGTTCAATCTTCAAAGTCCATTTCTATCATGTTTTTAAAGAATTAAACAAAGCTATGGTAAGGTTTATTATGATAAATTCAAAAAAAAATTCAAATCCATCTGGACCCTTTGTTTTTAATTTTCCAAAATCAAAATTCTAATTACCCTTTTCCTGTTTATAAAAAAAGTGTGTGCATACATGCATCTCTGAGATTCCTGGCAACTGCCTGGACAAGTCCCTGGAGTTGTTTTGGCAAGATTTCAGAAATGGGTTGCTATTGCCTTTTTCCTTGAGGGAAAGACAATGATTAGTGCAAAGTCATTAAGCTGTCTTTCATGTCTAAGACAGGTATACAACTCATGGTCCCCAGCTTCTACCCTAGGAGCATCAAATAGGAGGCTCGTGGGCCGGAAGTGTCATGCGCAGGCCACGCCCACCCCAGCTCCACGAAGGGGAGGTGTCTCAAAATGTCACTTGATGGCAACATGACACTGTGAGTTTGACACCCATGTTCTAGCCTATGTAAGAGCAGTCTTCAAAATTGCAAGCACCTGTGCTACTGCCATTCCTTCCATTTGAGCCAGAGATGGTATTCAGCATGTTCTGACCAGTTCTGGAGAACCAGTAGCAGAAATTTTGAGTAGTTAGGAGAACCAGCAAATACCACCTCTGGATATTTTACAGTATCCTTCCCCTGCCACACCCACCAAGCCACGCCCACAGAACTGGTAGTAAAATTTTTTGAATCCCACCACTGATTTGAGCCTTTCTCCCACATTAGCACAGCAGAGATGCCAATAAAGCTTCAATTTTGACACAGGTGTGGGAGGTGAGGTGTGTTTTTGGAGCTCTGCAGCCACCAATAAACTGAGAAGAACAGCAACCTTCTGTTTTTCTTTCAGAGGGACTGGATAGTCAGTCCAGAGAAAAATATGTACAAAAACCCAAGAAAAGAAAGCACAATTTAGAAAGATGCAAGAGCTCTACCTACTGGCCATTAAAAGAGAAGTAGAAAAGAAGAAATTCCAGAGAAAGGGAATAAAAGTCAGAATAGGCTCTGTAAGAAGGAAATATTAATGCATATATGATATAGATCATAGTATTTAAATAATAGTTTAGAAGAAACATTGTGATAGTAATAGAAGATAGAATAGAGATAATAGGAAGTATGTAGTCTGTGTGTATACACACACACACACACAGATAGAGATAATAGGACTGTATGTACATACAATGTGTGTGTTTGAGTATATGTCTATGTATATACAGTATCTCACAAGTGAATACATCCCCTCACATTTGATAAATATTTAAGTATATCTTTTCACGTGACAACACTGAAGAAATGACACTTGGCTACAATGTAAGTAGTGACTATACCGCTTGTAAAATAGTGTAAATGTGCTATCCCCTCAAAATAACGCAACACACAGCCATTAATGTCTAAATCCCTAGCAACAAAAGTGAGTACACCTCTAAGTGATAATGTCCAAATGGGGCCCAAGAAGCAGTTTTCTCTCCCTGGTGACATGTGACTCGTTAGTGTTACAGGGTCTCAGGTGTGAAGGGGGAGCAGGTGTGTTAAATTTGGTGTTATCGCTCTCACTCTCTCATACTAGTCACTGGAAGTTCAACATGGCACTTCATGGCAATGAACTCTCTGAGAACCTGAAAAAATGAATTGCTGCTCTACATAAAGATGGCCTAGGCTATAACAAGATTGCCAAGACCCTGAAACTGAGCTGCAGCCCAGTGGCCAAGATCATACAGCGGTTTAACAGGACAGGTTCCACTCAGAACAGGCTTTGCGATGGTCGACCAAAGAAGTTGAATACCCGTGCTCAGTGTCATATCCAGAGGTTAGCTTTGGGAAATAGACGTATGAGTACTGCCATTATTGCAGAGGTTGAAGGGGTGAGGGTCAGCCTGTCAGTGCTGAGACCATGCACTGCATGCTGCATCAAATTAGTCCGCAGGGCTGTCATCTCAGAAGGAAGCCTCTTCTAAAGATGATGCACAAGTCCGCAAATGGTTTGCTGCAGACAAGCAGACTAAGGACATGGATTTCTGGAACCATGTCATGTGGTCTGATGAGACCAAGATAAACTTATTTGGTTCAGATGGTGTTAAGCATGTGTGGTGGCAACCAGATGAAGAGTACAAAGACAAGTGTGTCTTGCCTACAATCAAACGTGGTGGGAATGCCATGGTCTGGGGCTGCATGAGTGCTGGCACCACTGCGGAGCTACAGTTCATTGAGGAAACCATGAAAGCCAACATGTACTGTGACATACTGAAGCAGAGCATGATGATCCCCTCCCTTCAGAGACTGGGCCACAGGACAATATTCCAACATGATAATGACCCCCAAACACACCTCCAAAATGATCACTGCCTTGCTAAAGAAGCTGTGGGTAAAGGTGATAGACTGGCCAAGCATGTCTCCAGACCTAAATCCTATTAAGCATCTGTGGGGCATCCTGAAATGGAAGGTGGAGGTGCGCAAGGTCTCTAACACCCACTAGCTCTGTGACGTCGTCATGGAGGAGGGGAAGACGACTCCAGTGGCAACCTGTGAAGCTCTAGTGAACTCTATGCCCAAGAGGGTTAAGGCAGTGCTAGAAAATAATGGCAGCCACACAAATTATTGACACTTTCGGCCCAAATTGGACATTACCATTTAGAGGTGTACTCACTTTTGTTGCCAGGGGTTTTGACATTAATGGCTGTGTATTGTGTTATTTGAGGGGACAGCACATTTACACTGTTATACAAGCTGTATACTCACTACTTTACATTGTAGCCAAGTGTCATTTCTTCAGTGTTGTCACATAAAAAGACATAACTAAATATTTACAAAATATGAGGGGATGAAATACTGTAAGTACAAGTTTGGGCAGAAAAGAAACTATATAGGTTAAGAGTTGGTTGAAAAGATTCATGGACCAAAACAATCTTCTATTGGACATTTTGGTTTTCCGTGACAGAACTATTGTATGATAAGGAAGAAATATGGGAGAATGTGGCAAAAAATAAACATATAAATGTGGACCTGAAGTTACTGGTGGACATTTCAATTTTCTTTGCACACAAACATTAGCATCAGGTTAATTGTTACCTCTAGCACATATGTCTCAAAATTCAATCTGATGAGTGTAAGGTCCATTTGTATCTACTCTCAACACTTGTCGGTTTCCATATGTGCCATGCTTCAGGACTACACCAGCTTCTGCACATTTGACATTAGCAGCCAGTTGTTTTTCACACTGAATCACAAACTGGGAATAGAGTTCTAGCCCAATTTCTTTTTCAATGTTGGTATGATATTGCATTCTTCTTCCTTTCAATTTACCACCCAGTGTGGCTTGTGGTATTACAAGTATACTACCTGGCAAATCCAAAATAGACACATATTTGCCATCTTCACATTCACTTAATTTCACATTCAGGATTGTATTGACTGTAAAAAATGATAGGGGAAAATACTTGATTAGCAGGTTGAAACATAACTTACATTATCAATAATGCATGTTTAAATTATCTTTATTTGAACACATTTATACTTTAGTTTTAGTATGGAAAAAAATCCTTAAAAGAACTGCTCACATAGTGCAAAATACATGATACAAAGGAAAGAGGGAGGGGAGGGGAAAACAAATGAAAACATTTATGCACCAGTTCTTAATGGTCACATGCAGTGATGACAGTATATACTGTATAAATTGAAATGTGAATACTGTTAAGTTTCCTATATAAAATATTTATTTGCTAGTTCCCTCTACTGGCTCCCTGAAGCATTTATTTTTCGACACAAAGTCTAAAAAATTTGGAGCAAGGAAATGATTAAACTTCAACTAGATAATTTAGACAATTGTTCTAAGTTTCCATCCAGCAAACAGTCCCATGACCCTTTTTCAAGCAACTTTCTGTACTATTGAGATGCCATTCTCAACATTTATTTACTAGGTGAAGTAAGGTCCAATTAAACTGTTTCTAAGAACTACAGTACTTCCTATTTATTCAATTATGAATAAATTTAATTTATTATGTAGGAAATGATTTTGTCAGTACAATAATTTAAAAAACTATAAAAAGATAAAACAGAAAGAGGTACTTTTTTAATTTCTGTAGGCTTGGACAGTAGTGAAAATTGAACTAGATCAGGTTTGCTGAGTTCTCTGGCACTGGTAAGTTGTGCGACTATAATTTAACTGTCTGCTGTATTCATGGCAGTAGCACCTACACAGCTACCGTAATCAAAGGGTGCTTCTGGATGGAAAGCATCTGCCGATGATTTAGCTGACTGCATTATATACAGTATTCGATATAGGGCCTCAGAAGCAACAAAGGATTTTGGCTTTATACTTTCAAAAGAGGATGTAAAGTAATTGTACAGCACAGCACAGTAAACTGCTGGAAGTAGTTGATGGGGTAAGAAAATATCATCCCTGTCCCGTCGGTTTCTTAGTTTTGGTTTTAATATAGTTTTTAAAATCTTAATATGTGTAGTTTTAATGTTTTAATTATTTTTTTTCCTTGTTTTATAACCTGTAAGCAGCTGAGAATCACCTGACAGATGGACAGCATACAAATATAATAAATAAATAAAAGGTTTTTGTGTTTTTGTGCCACTTTCCCTGTTTATTTCCAAAGCAAACCCTAAAATATTTTTTGTTAAAAAAAATAAAATTTACATATAAATGATACATAGATATAAACATAAATATAGGAATTTTATTAATGTTTGCTGCCTCTATTAACAAGAACTGGACATACTTTATGTACAATTGCAGTTTAGAAGGAAATGTCTGTTGTGCTTAAACTTCCTCACAGAACAAACTTTTATTTGCACACAAACACAATAAACACACTGGTTCTAAGTTCTAAGAATAATTTCTCTGGAAAACCTACCCATTTTGGGAATAATATCTTCACTGGCCCCTTTGAAGAAACATACATAGATAATAAGACCACGTTGGATCTATATAAAATGACAAAGATATATTGAAATATTGTTATATATATTGATTGATTGATTTGGACAGTGTGATTTACTATTTACTGTAATTTAAAAACAATATTCTGTAGTCCAAATACTACAACTGCACAATCCTACAAATTCAATTAACAGATACTGTAAGATTCACCAAGTTAAATGAAGCTTGATTTCTAATTACTGAGTATTCACGAAAAAAATATATTTCAAAATACATTTATAAAATGTTCGTATGTCTGTTTTCAATGTTTGGCATGCTAAAGCAAGTTTCACCCAAGACACATTTTTAAAACAAAGGAAACACTCTTGAAGAGTTTATGCTAGAATAAATTAGAAGATTTCCCTATTGAAATTCCAAGTATTACACATTTAGAAATAAATTTTAGAATATTACACATTTAGAAATAAAAGTTCTAAATATTTTTATGTTCCAGATGTCATGAAGACCTGCATCAAATTTTTACATGTATTTTGAAATATATTTAGAATAGACATATGGCTGCTGTTTCTATCAACTGTATAAGAAAAATCGGAAGGTGCCTACATATTTTTGAAAATAAATATCGTTCAGTGGGATTAGTACAAGCTGCAGAAGAGACATGTGAGACAACGAGTTATGTCAGTAGATGTCACACTGGTCAAAGCAAGCGAATTTTCACATGCGGTAAAATCCTAAACCATTAAGTATTTTTTTTAGTGCCGGAAATGTTTCTGCGTAAGTTAGTTTGGTCAGGCACATTAATAACCAGGTGAAGTACTCCCGTGTTATGAAAAATTCGTTACGGATTAATATAATAATGCACATTATGAGTTCCTGATCATTTCAGGAAGGCAGATTATATACAATATGAAAATCTAATCTGTAGTGTTGATAGATAAGAGATATGAACTCTGGATCTCTGCGGATCTCGGAAACAGCTCTGCTCAGAAGTTGGGGCGAGAGTGATACAAGCATGCAGGAAAGCGAAAAGAAGTTAGCCATCAAACGGCAAGATTCGCAATGCTGATATTACCTCTACCCATCTGGCTTCGCAATCCGGTTCAGCAGGCTTCACTTGCAGCTGCGCGTGCAGACACTGCTGCAAAACCACACGAGCTAGTGGACTCGAGTTTGGGTCAGCCATAAACGCGCGCATACGCACACACACGCCACTCGGAGGAAGGCAAACGGGGCCTCTAAAAGTCTTTTTCTCAAACTCCTCCTCCAGTCCCTCCTCTAAGTTGACGCAAACTCCTTCTGCTTCATTTCTTTGTAGTCCATGGTTATTGACTCTCTGTTGAGAGACAATTCGTTTCTCTGCCCGCTTCACACAATGTATAAACCTAGAAAGCAGTACAAATCGCCCATTGAAAGCAATAGCAGAATTTAGAATTATTTCACAAAACTTGAAAACAGAAGTTCCTCCTGTTTTGTAACTTGGATATATTTATGGGACATTATTAAACTCAATTCTGTTTATTCTCTTTAAAATGTACTATGACACAACCAAATGATTGAAAGAAAAAGGAAGACAGCATTTTTATGGAACTCAGAGGGCTGCAATAAATTTGGGGAAATGAGGATGCCTGGAGTGTCATTGGCTGGTGACGGACAGACAAAAATATGTACAGTTCAGGTACAATGAGCAGTGGTGGCACAGTGGTTAGAATGTAGTACTACAGGCTACTTTTGCTGACTGCCAGATAGGTAAAATGAGGATTCAGATTATTGGGGGCAATATGCTGACTCTAAATCATTTAGAGAGGGCTGTAAAACACTGTGAAACAGTATATGTCTAATTGCTGTTGCTATACGGAGAAACTGTGGTGAAATAAATAGGTTCCCACTTTGTGATTCTCACTATAGTGTGGAGAGGAAGAAACAAAGCTTAGATATTGGAAAATGTATAAAAAGATGTGGTGTTCTTGGTAGGAGATGCATGCAGATCATGGACTCTGTTTGGGATAAGTAAGTTTTGTCCCAGAAGGAGACCAAGTCCAGGAGAAATGGCTAGGGAAAATAAAAGGAAGTGATTAGCTGAGGGAAGCCAAAAAAGAGCTAGAGTTCCATTGAGTCAAAAGGATTTCTCAGGAATGGGAAAGAAAGAAGGTAATGTGTAAGTTGTAAATGTGTGTGTGTAAGTTGAGTGCATCAAGTAGCTTAAGAAAGCAAAAGGGAGATAAAACAAAGATTCTTTGACAGAAGGGTTACTTGTAGTGTACTTTGTAGTGTACTTTAATTAGTGATTGGCATTGAGGTGCTTATCTAAAAGCCCCCAATGCTAGTAGCTCCAACCCTGTTGAGGAAAAGTGGTGAAAGCGTTTTACTCCGTTTTGAAGAGGTTTGAATGACAGGGGACTCTTCCCTCCATGTCCCTCCTGTGCCTGTGTTCTAAAGATGCCTATTGGGCGCTCAAGAAGTTTGCTTTTCTAATTCTCAGAAGATCTGGTGGAGAAAATCTCCATCCTTACAGTAATGCAGATGCTGTATCTTGTATGCATCCTTCCACAGCTGTAATGGGGAATATAGCTGGAAAAGGTTTTTCCCTCGCAATCTTTAAAAAGATTCGAGAGTCCTAAGGAAGTTAACTCATTAAATCAGTGTTTCTCAACCTTTGCCAACTTTAAGATGTGTGAGCTTTAACTCCTAGAATTCATCAACTACTATGCTGAGTTGCCAAGGTTGAGAAATGTATGAAATAAAGGGCAGTGAGCGAGGGAAACGCCGGAAGAGTCTTTAATGTCGCAAATGCCGTTCTAGCCAATAGAGACTACTCTATAGTTCCCTGCGATTAAAAAAAAAAAGAACGCTTTAGCTTTATTGTCCCGGAAGTGATTGAGCAAGAACTGGTGCCTGGAAGTGCCTAGTACCAGTTTCTCAAGAGTGACCTTTCCGGCTTGGTTCCCTTTCATTTCCTATGGGCGACTTAGGGCGAGCGCCTCCTCGCAAGGATGCAAACTCTATCGTTTTAACTCTTAGCTGTCAGATTCACCTCAGCGGTGAATTGCATCGTGTGATTTCCTTCGCAGAAAACTGTAGGGGAGTTGCTCGAGAATAGCTCCTGTTAATATTGAAGGGGATTTCGAACACGATAAATGGTTGGCAATCTGTTCTCCGTAAGGCTGCTAAACCGAATGGCGGCAAATTTGAAAAAAATGGTAGGCTTTTAAGGCTCAGGTCTTTGTCTCGCTCGTTTCGTAAGTGTGATACCTGACTTGCTGTCATATGCAACACTAATGTAGCAATATTGTGGAATTCTAAGAGGTTCAACAAGAATAGCAGGCAATTAACTGAGATGGGACATCTTCCTAGGTTGCTATTTTTTTAAAAAAATCGGCAAACTCCAGTGCATACCGTAGGTCAAGCCTTAACTGTGTACGTTCTTGCTTTTTCTTTAAAGTCATCAAATATGAAGGATGGTGCCCTCGAAGACAAGCGTAGCAAGATCATGGCTAGAGGGCTTCCGAAGCAAAAGCCGATTGAAGGAGTTAAGCAAGTGCTGCTTGTAGCTTCTGGTAAAGGGGGTGTAGGAAAGTCCACAACGGCCGGTAAGTTGTTCATATTATATTAGGAATAATATATATGTTTAACGTTTTAATGTATGCATTCTATTATTACATTTTCCCTGCATTTTGTGTATGTGTGTGTATACACATTACATGCACATGCACACATAACATGCATGCACATACATGCACACATAACATACACATATGCATGCACACATACACATGCATACATTATATTCATACACATACATTGCACACACATACATATACACACATGCATACATAACATTCATGCACCCATATGCATGCACACATACACACATGCATACATAGCATTTATACACGCATGCATACACACACATAAACATATGCATAACATTCATATACACACATAGTTACTCAAGGCAGCAAATGATACCGAATTAGCATTATCAAAAGGAGTAGGTTTTTTAAAGATTAATTAAGATGTTCAGTCCTTAAGAAGAAGTCTTTTTTCTGATTTATTCAGAAAAATTAATTATCCACCTTTATTTATTTATTTATTATTTTATCCACCTGCCAGCTGTGTTGGGTCTAACTTGCCTTATTTCCGGGCCTAAAGATTAGGAAGAAGGAGACAGAGATCTAGACTGCTCATAAGTAGCACCCTGGCTGAAAAGAATTCACTGGTTTTTTTTATCCCTCCCAGTAAGTTTTGGAATGTTGCTTTCCAAGCAGCATCCATAAAACAGGGTGAAACTATACAGAGCTTGATGTTTGCAAGTTTCTTCAGCCCTTTGATGAATAGTGCCATAGGAGGCCTTAAGGTGGTGTATATGTATGTGCATGCATTTTTCATTCCAGAGCAGAGACATATAACTTTCTTGTGTATGGAGTTTATGCAACTATGAGAGTCTGACAAGAATTAATACATGTGTTTTGTGTCTGTGCATGGGAAAATGTTTTTTCTTTTCTTGTGTTGCATTTGTGTATGTGTTCACAGGAAATCATATGGAGGGCTTGTATGTTCTGTTTTGTGTCATGTGTTCAGAGAGGAAAGGAGGAGTCTCTACTCTCCAACCACTTTTCCCTTAGGGATGAATTGGGGAAATATATTCAGGAATGTTTTTCTCTGCGAAATGTCTGGGTAAGATATTTTTCAGGAAAAGATATTAAAATGGCTGTACAAAAGAAATCAGCTGATGTCTTAATAATTAAAAGACATATACAAATAATGAGATTGACCTTGATAATTTTCCTATGTTGGATTTATAAAAGAGACTTGTTAAACTTTGAAAAATTTGTGAGAAGTGCAGGAGAAGAAGCAGTGCTTGGGGACAGAATCAAGAGAGGAATCAGTCTGGAGTCATTGTGTTTCCAGAAGAGTTCAAAATTCAGACCCCGCTCCTTGAATTCTATCCTTATCCGGCGCTAATTTAGTGTTGATAAAATTATTAGTTGATAAAATTCTTGTGTATCGGCTTCAGCAATAAATCTTCTTAACTGGAACTTAAAACGTGATCCTGATTGTTCGCGCATGACAAAAGGAACAAAAAATAATAAGGTTTTAGGATATTATTTAAGAGGCTAAAGATTGAGAATTTTAAAGGAATGAAAAGTTGGTTTATTTGATGAAGGTTAGAATAGTTATGTTATCTCTGGTAATGGACTTTTGCTGACATCAGAATTAAAATGACTATGGATTTTTTTATAGATAAGAGATGGGAATATGGTATGAAGAAATCATTTGTTGTATTTTAAGAGATGGGATAAGTTACTAAAATGTTTATATACAGGTGAAACTCGAAAAATTAGAATATCGTGCAAAAGTTCATTTATGTCAATAATGGGACTTAAAAGGTGAAACTAATATATGAGATAGACTTATTACATGCAAAGCAAGATAGTTCAAGCCGTGATGTGTCATAATTGAGATGATTATGGCTTACAGCTCATGAAAACCCCAAATCCACAATCTCAGAAAATTAGAATATTGTGAAAAGGTTCAATATTCTAGGCTCAAAGTGTCCCACTCTAATCAGCTAATTAAGCCATAACACCCGCAAATGGTTCCTGAGCCTTTAAATGGTCTCTCAGTCTGGTTTAGTAGGAAGCACAATCATGGGAAAGACTGCTGACCTGACAGTTGTGCAGAAAACGATCATTGACACCCTCCATAAGGAGGGAAAGCCTCAAAAGGTAATTGCAAAAGAAGTTGGATGTTCCCAAAGTGCTGTATCAAAGCACATTAATAGAAAGTTATGTGAAAGGGAAAAGTGTGGGAAAAAAGGTGCACAAGCAGCAGGGACTCCTGCAGCCTGGAGAGGATTGTCAGGAAAAGGCCATTCAAAAGTGGGGACTTACACAAGGAGTGGACTGAGGCTGGAGTCAGTGCATCAAGAGCCAACACACACAGACGGATCCTGGACATGGGCTTCAGATGTCGTATTCCTCTTGTCAAGCCGCTCCTGAATAACAAACAACATCAGAAGAGTCTTACCTGGGCTAAAGAAAAAAAGAACTGGTCTTTTGCTCAGTGGTCCAAAGTCCTCTTTTCTGATGAGAGCAACTTTTGCATCTCATTTGGAAACCAAGGACCCAGAGTCTGGAGGAAGAATGGAGAGGCACACAGTGCAAGATGCTTGAAGTCCAGTGTGAAGTTTCCACAACTCTCTTCATACTCTACGTAAATGATCTCTGTGATCATATTAAGAGCAACTGCGTTCTCTTCGCTG